TTGGTCTCCATCTTGCTAGCGTTGTGGCAGAATAGAGGCGGGGGAAATGCTTGGAACCGTGATGGGTTGATCTGATGCCATCAGATGTTGATCGGGGTGTTCTTTTTATGGAGTGCTGCTCCGTACTCCGGATGATCGAACTTCCATGGACAACTAATCGGTTCAGCCCATTATATTTCCTCGATTAGGACTGTCGAGGATATGAGATTGGGATTTCCAAGGTGATCATAGGGGAAAAGGAATGGAAAGAACGCTTCGCGTGAAAGGCTACCAGCGCTACCCATTAACTTCCACGATGTGTCAAGCGGTGGAACTGTCCAGGGCGCCAAGGTAATATAATGCACTTCGTACGGAGTAAATTGATGAACACATCCAATCATTTGGGGTTGATAGGAGATTTTATGACCTTCCGAGGTTCGAACCCGGAACAGTCCCAAACTTATTGGCCGTTTACGTTATGGATTGGTTCTAGACTTATTTTTACCAAGTATATATTTCTAGAACGTGTACACTTTTAGCATATGTATATTGTACATCCTGGATTCGTGAAGATCTTCATATATATACCGCTCGAAAATCCATATCCTGTCGGCGGTGATGACATCAAATATTCAGAATTCTTTTACCCCAATTAATATACAACCCAAGACGCCTTTGAAATACTGTGTTCGGTCGCGGCGCAGCGTCATCAAAAAGAGACAAATAGAAGCGTCAATGCATTTTCGTGGACTTGGTAGTGGTGTTTGATATTAGACCCAGATGGCATCTTCAACACACATTAGTTATTAAACATCACCGAGAACACTGAACATGGTCATACCATGCTCTGATCGTCATTTAATGTTTGGTCTCCGACTGTCGAGACTCCATCTCATGGTCAAGGCTGTATGATTTTCGCAATCGCGGATAAACTAGTCCGAAGAATGCGATGACCGCTAGAAGAATAAGAAAGGTAGGCAGAAACATGAAAATAAAGAGCAAGACGCTCAATCCGAGGGTGATATTTTGCCCACGAAGAACTCGACGGGCCATGATCTCGACGACCGAGGACATACGGTAACCAAGCTAGGGAGGTGAATGATTCAATTTGAGCAAAGGAAAATAATATTGACTTTGGGAAATGATCTCATTGTACTTGCCCCATACCCCATATATAGCTACCTGGAAGCGCCGGATGTAATGTGCGCCATCCCCAGCATTTACGCTGGCACCGTTTTTAGCAAAACATTGTAATGTTGATGCCTGTGCCATTTCAAGTGTCCCCACCCTTGGCGTCAATATTATTCTTTCACCGCAGATCAATAAAATGTGGGTTTCCTTTCGATTTGCCCTCTTGGCGTGAAGTTGTAGGCAGCAGCATTTTCAAAGTTAGAAATTCTTGTCGGTGTTGAGGTAGTCCCATTTTATTACGGACTGTTGAATTGTGTAGCCTTTTCACCTAATCTTAAAAGTTCGAAGCTCGGCATTTTCAGCCCTAGCTAATTTCCGCCAATCCGACAACTCCACGCGCCCGTGGATCTAGCACTGTGCAATCATTAGGAACAGCCCTCTGGGTCAGCTGGCGCATTGCAGTTCAGTCGAGTATTTCCTGCAAACGTTGCAAGACATGGAATCCCCTTGACAAGCAAGGGACCCGGAACGTAGCTATGATTGGGTGGCCAACCGGGTCCTCATGTAATAAAACCTCCTTATAGGGCTGAAGCTTGGCTTGCGGGGCGGACTGACGTTTCTTGAAAGCATAACTGGTATCGGATCGGATGGGAATTGGGGAGACCTGTAATCGTAATTTTGGCTGTGTGTTTTGAGACCCTGTTAAGAGGTAGATCGGCAGATCTCCGGTAAAGCGGATGCATTCAACCGTGTATTTCTCCCCCCTGTCGAGTGGAAGAATAGAAGGAAATAGAACAATACTAGGGCGATAAGGCGATCTTCCCCCACATTTTCCCTTCCAACTTTTGATGTAACGTGAACCTTTATCCTACTTTATCCTTGATCTTCACCTTTCAACTGCTCTTCTCAAGTCCCCAGCTTCTGAACATGTCTTGGCTTGCGGGGTATGGCAATAGCGATGAAGACGATAACGATAACCTGGGCGTGGATTGGGTACTACAATATGAGTTTGGGGACATTGGTAAACAGCTTGCTTGCATATGATATTCTTGGCTTTCTGCATATTCTGACGATCACTAGACCAAGCTCAAGCTATTATAGAATTTCGAACGCTTATCAACGACTTGAGCGAGGCTGGTCTTCGGGTTCAGGTTCGTCACGGCCATGGCCAAGCGGTATTAGTTTGCATTCGGGTGCCGCGGGATCATCTGGGGAATTTAATACATCAATCAAGGTAAGTGGGAAGTGGTCTTCAATGTGAGATTTTCTCCCTTGGACAGCTAACTAACACGTCGCAGAATTAAAGATTGGCTGTTTGGAATTACCCATACCTTACCCGACGGCGATGAAACAGCTATTGCCGACGCCGATACACCATCCGAAGAGATCCGTTCCGTATACCATGCTGTCACCTGGCAAAAGAAATTAGGCGGTGCAGGCATCACGCCAGGTTTTGGGAAATGGGAGAACGTCACTGCCTCATTTCCGTTACACGACCAGGAGGCCTGTGCGGAAATGCTACGTCAATGGAACCGAAAAACTGTATTGACGACTAGCGACCTGGATGCGATTCGAGCCTTATTTGGCGAAAAGGTATTGTTCCAGCTCCCCCAGTTTTGGATCGGCTATATGATGATGTTATGACAAGCAGCTAACCCTGTGCAGGTCGCTTTCTACTACGCTTTTATTCATTGCTATTCGCTATTCCTCGTGGTGCCCGCAGCATTGGGAATTCTTGCATGGCTGTATCTAGGCCCATATTCGATTGTATATGGAACTATACTTTGCGCCTGGTGCATTGTGTTTGTCGAGTACTGGAAAGTCCGAGAAGCCGATTTAAGCCAGAGATGGGATGTCAAGGGTGTTGGAAGACTCAAGGTGAATCGCAAACAATATGTGTGGGAGAAAGAGGTCAAGGACCCAATCAGTGGTCAGGTGAAACATGTCTTCCCGGGTTGGAAGCAGTTCACGCGCCAGCTGCTTCTGGTTCCTTTTGCTTCTGTGGCGAGTGTGGCCCTCGGAACCTTGATTGTTGCGTCCTTCGCATCGGAGGTGTTGATATCCGAGGTATACGACGGTCCATTCAAAGGGTATCTGGAATTCGTACCGACTGTCCTGTTTTCGCTATCCTTGCCCGCCATAACTTCTTTTCTCACGGATATCGCAACGCGCTTGACCGAATACGAGAACTACCGAACGCAAGATCAATACGACCTTGCCCAGACTCAAAAGAGTTTCGTCATGAATTTCATCACCTCTTTCCTTCCCACGATATTGACCGCCTATGTCTATGTTCCCTTCGGCAAACAAATCATTCCGCGGCTCGACATCCTTCGGAGAACGGGGATCATGGCGGAGTTGATCAGTGGACAGAAGGAATTTGAGGTTGATACAAGCCGATTCCAGCAGGAGGTGATATATCTCTCCATGACCGCTCAGGTACTTAGCTTCGGCGAGGAGGTCGTCCTACCATATGCGAAGCATGTCTTGAGGCAGAAATGGCAAAACTATCAGCATCGCAAGGCGGAATACAGCCGCAAGCGAAAGTATTCCACAGCAACCGACCTGTTCATGGTTGACCCGCCCGATGAAGCTGCATTTATGACAAGACTGCGTAGCGAGGCCGGCGCAGATGAATACCATGTGGAGGAAGATATCATGGAGATGTGTGTACAGTTTGGCTACCTCGCATTATTTGGAGTTGCCTGGCCACTGGTACCCCTTGGATTCCTGTTGAACAACTGGCTGGAGCTGCGAGGTGACTTCTTCAAGCTCACGCTGGAGTGCCAACGACCACCACCAATCCGATCGGACTCGATCGGCCCATGTCTACTAGGGCTGGATTTCTTGGCTTGGCTGGGGACTCTATCTACAGCAGCTATTGTGCATGTCTACCGGGGTCCTATTTCCGAGGTTCGACTCTCCTCTCTTTTGCTGACGTTGTTCGTTGCCGAGCAGGTCTACCTCGGGATGCGATTCACTGCCTCTACAGCCCTTGAGAAGATATTTTCGGACACGATCCGAAGAGAGGAGGCTAGTGAGTATGCAGTACGCAAGAATTATCTTGCTGCCAGTCTGGCGAGAAACTCCTCGCCCAGTTCCGGCTCCCAAGGCTCGCCGAGCGGTCGGGCCCGTCACCGAGTGCGTTTCAACGAACGGGTCAATGTATACAGCACGAATGAAAAAGACCTATCGAGCGATGAGGCTCCATCTCTGACCAAAGAGGAGCCGGGGAATGATGTGCTTCGTGGGTCCGACCGTGAAGCCCAGTTCTGGACCGCGCGTTCAGGGGACATGGCAGACGCAGGCGTCAAGCTGATTCGCGCATTAAGCACATCCGCAGGAAATGGGGCTAAATCCTCTAAGGAGGCATAGGATAGAAATTCTCAGCCCTATGTATATATAGAGTTTATTTTCAGTTTCTATTACACTGCTGCCTGGGATATTCTATGTATAGATCGATTAGATTGGCTGTAGCGCCTGGTACAAGCCTTGATAGCCTGGGGGGAATCATACCTGTGGGGATTCATTTCCATTAAATCAACATTGAATTTATTTCACACGTACGAAATACGTTGGTACACAAATCCGTGTTACGCACGTATTGTCCCCTGCAAAAGCATATCTCAGCCTTATAGGGCTACGCCAAGGCGGGTATATCCACCCACAACTCTTGAAGACCCCGGGCGATCCTCTAGTCTTACCCGCTTGCGTGTGGTTTCCTTTTCTCCTCTTTGTCCCTTTGACTCCCTGCCACTTATCTGGTCTTGCCCTTTATCTCCACTATCTAATTTTCATCCAACCTTCTGAACCTAGTTGTACAGAGCATCGGCATGGATAGCGTCGTGTGAATTTCTCGGTCACCCGGTCGCCCGCGTATGACTTTTACAATGGTGACCTCTACCGACTCCTCTGACACCCTAATCACTCGTCCACCTCCAATCCGCAACCCACACTTACCTCCCAATCCCACAACCATATCCCTGGAGATGGACTTACTATCACCCACCGAATCTCCACCACCCTTGGTCCCGAAACTGCTCCGCGAAGCTAGTGACATCACATGGCTGGAATCCCTGGAATCAAAAAAAGGCCAGGTTGTGCTAGTCCGATGGCGTGGTCGATACCGCCTACTGTACCAGCAGCAATTCAAGAACAGCTTGCTCGCCGGTGTCGGGTACCTCGAGCTAGCTAACGCCGGTGATTTTGCTGCCAACGTCTGGAACGAGATCCCTGTTCCAAAATTTGCTGCTGTGCTGATGGGAATTGGAGGTACACTGGCCTTGGGAATGTTGTTGGTCGTTATTTATGATTTCCAATTGAGCTGGACAAACGTCAAGCTGCTACGAGCGGAGCGGGATCACCTGCAGCGTCTGCGGCAATACCACAGCAAGAACGCAGAGCTGGTGCGACTCATCGACAGCCGGCTTGGCGTGGGGGTGCGAGAAATTGGCACCGAAGCGATTGACCGGATCGTGATGGATTTATTGCTGGGATTCGGCTCCCTGTTGGTCGGCGTTGGGACTTTGATGGCCATTGGCGGCGCCAATCCCCACGTCTACAAAGCCAGCAATCTGCTTTCTGGGTATATTGGGAATAGCCTAGCTGCAATGTTCGGCCTTGTCAATGCCATCTGGTCTGGGTATCTCTTTTATCGATTCCATATGCACGATGCCGCTGTTTTTGCGCGTGAGCCCAGTGATGATATCCGTCGCCGTCTACATACTAGGTTCCGCCGCTTCCAATGGCACGCCGGTGTAAACGGATTGAATGGTCTTGTTGCTGGTGCTGCTTCGATGGTCACTGCTGAGCGTTGGTGGGGATACGTTGTCCTGATTCCTTGTATTATTTCTCTAGTGATGTGCAACTATTTCTGGCGGAGAAAGCTGGGTTATGATCGTCCACTCCTTGGGCATACATCACCAACAGAAATACAGGTGACCCCTCTCATTGAGGACCTGCAATATGTGATTGTAATGCAGCGAGCTCTCGCCGATCCCGAGCATTCGCTTCCGCTGGCGATTGTTCAGCCTGACTCCTTGGACTCAATCTTTCAATTCATTGTCCGTGAAAACATGCTCGACACATACTGCGAGTCCCTTGCCCGCGATAAAAGCACCCGCCATCTGCTCGCCGCATTCCCATCTTCAAACACATCTCCCGATCAAATAACCATCTCCCTAGACGCACTCTTCCGCCTTCCTCCCGGCCACCTACATCTCATACTGGAGCACGCAAAGAAATTTCTGCGAACGACCGGTGTCTGCATCTTCACACACCGCGAACGTTACCTCCTCGAGCTTCTGGGCTACGCCGTCTGTCAAGATCACAAAAGGGCGACAACAACCATAATGACACGATAGAGCACACTTAATATCTTTCGTACTTAATTCTATCGCTGTCTCATGACCACCCCCGGGGCTCACGGGGTGGAGGCACAATGTCCGGCGGCTGGTCGCCGGTTGATCTTCATTTTGTTGCATATTCCCATTGATTGTTGTGGGATTCCTTCCTCTGTTACCTTAGAAGTGCTAGACTTGAGTCTTGGGCATACAATAGGCATTATAGTTCCTAATATATTGAAAATTGACTGTGACGACCTTCATATTCGTATCATGCTTGCCGCATGGATCTTCCACTGCGCACAATCATCCCATATGCCAGCCGCCAAGCTTTCGTAAAGACAATTGGAACGGCATCTTGATGTGTTGGAATCATTTCCACGACAGCCACCTACCAGACAATGAACCACTAGAGCGATAAGCCCAAGATAGGTATAAACCCTCTCCTCCATTTCCGTGCATCTCCATTTCATCACATCTCCGGGACGGACCCACCCACACAGCTAGTTCCTTTTGTTCTATTCCGTCAGCCCTGTCCGCCTCATTCTCACATCTTGAGCTTTTCTTCATCGATAACGGCTCGTACATGTGCGTATCGTAACGGATTACGCTCTTCACGATCGAATACCCCAGTGGTTTACATCTCGGCAACTCCTAGTTGACTAGGATTGACATCTGAATACAATTGGTATATTCTATTTTATGTGTATAGCATTCCAAGTACCTTGAGCACAATTAACAGTCAATTAAATAGATAGTTGAAAAACCTAAACGATCTCCTTCGAGGTAAGGGAAATGTCTTTCTCGGTGCCTCCATCGAGCTTAATTCCAGTGATAGCACCGTGATTGAGCCTGATAGTATCAACGCTCTCTCCCTCAAAGAAGCCCTCAGAGCCCGCCATATATTCCCATGTCTTGGGCATGCCCTCCTTTCCCCCAGGGTATATTGGCACGGGGAAGATCAAGCAGGCAGCATAGTAAACTATTGAGGCGACGAGGAAGCTTAGCAGAAATCCAAGTTTATACATATCCTTGCTAGCCTGGTTCGTCAGGCTAGGTTCCAAGGCCCCAGCGACACCGTGAATGACAAATGCGGTGCCAGAAAGCCACGCCACAATAGCACGAAGGTTCCAACCCTTCCAGTATGTGTAGGGGGGTACCTTCCTCCCGGCTGTACAGTGACGGAACATGCAAATTACCCCGGCGAACAAGCCAGTAATCGACCACCATGATACCGCATATGGGCATCAAGAAGACCGTATACGATGACAGGAAAGTCAAGAAGCTTTTCGCATCGGCAATGATTTTCCAAGGAAACAATAAAGGACCCAAGATACCACAAATGATCTGTCCACGAACAATGTTGATATATCGCGGTAGGAGACCGCTCATATCAGCTCCCGCGGGGAGTGCATTGGTACCGGCGTTGGAGGCCAAAATAGCAAGAACCATGCCCTGCGTGGAGTTAGTAGCTGTATGAAAAGGAATAAGATATATGTATCTGGAAGACATACCAAGCAGGCAAAGAGAACACCCGCTCGAGCACCTGGGCCCCAGTAGGTGGTTAATATAGCATTGTAAAGATCCCACACATTCCAGTAAGATGTACCCAGGAATCCTTGGGTAGCACTGGTAGTTGCAGCACTGAGGAACATGATCATAATTTTGCTGATGAAGATCCCCAAGATTTGGGACCAAGTGGCCTGAGATGGTCTTTGTGCGTATCGCGCAATGTCAGGCTGATTGATCAGAATGGGACACAGGGCAGCACAGATAGAGTTTATAGCTGAAATCATGGGCCAGACAAGTTGCAAGCCAGAAAGAACGGCCTGGCCCTCAAAGTGAAAGCTACCGAGCGAGCCATGATTCTGGTGTACAGCCCAGCCCAGAACCGCGACCAGAGCGATGGTGCTATAGAAAGCCTTGACGACGAAAATATGTCTGAGCACAATAGGGTGCACAAACATTAGACCCATCTGGAAGAACCAGAAGATAAAGAAGGCCAGCAGATTCGCACCAGTGATACCGGCGCTGATAGGAAGAAGATTAGGTATGTTGTCCCACGCCGAGCCAAATATACATCGCAGCAGGATCGCCATCAACATTCCACCATAATACAGATTTGTGGAGAAGTAAATGACGGCCACCGCACCGCGGATGAAAATGAAGAACTTGGCGCCCCGTGGACCACCAGCAGCAGTGCCAATGACGGGGAATCCGACATGGTATTGTGTTGCACCGCGCGAATTGAGAACGACAATTATTGAAAGAAAGACCGACCCTATCACTGCAGCAATGAGGGTGTGCCACCACGTCTAAATATTTCATTAGAATGGTTGAACGGTAGGATATTGCTCTGGCAATCCGTTTAAACTCACCAGACCAATGGTGGCCAAGGAGGCACCGAGATTATAGCTCGTGGGTGAGAAAGATGTTGTCAGATAGTATGTAAAGAAGTGAATCCACCCCCAGGATCGTCGTTCTGTAATGCATTGTTAGAATATCAGCCCCTTAATAAGAGCTATTATAGCTATAAACAGAGACTTACCAGGTTCGGTTGGAAGTAGATCCTCATTGTAAGCAGCCTTCTCCCCGTCGACCTCTTTTGTTTCGATGGCCTTTAGAAAAGCCGCTGGGGAGCTGAAGGCTTTCTTAGTCCGCGTGCTCCAGGTCATCTTGTCACAATTCCAGACGCCAATTTCACAACGAGTAGGGAGGTGCGGTGGTCAGTCGAGATTATATGTCAAAAATGGATGCCCAGCTCCTAACAGAACAAGTATCTGAAGTGTTGGAAGTGTTATCAAGGGAGACGTGAACATGAATCGCCCACAATCTCTTTTACAAACAAATCCTCGTCGGTATAGATTGGCAGAGATACCGTGGACGCCCCAAAGCTAAGTCAAGGACCAATCAGAGTCGAGGAACCTTGAAAACCGTGGGAGATACCAAAAATGCGGGGGAGCTCGGCTCTCCGCGACTATTGGGCCATGCCATGAAGACTCCACCTTGCGGACCTTCCGATAAACTCTATATGCTCTTGGACGAGAAAGTTTGGAGACACGGAGCCTCCGATAATGTCCAGAACCCCGAAGTCTAGGGAGCGTAAGAGTATGAGCTTAGCTTCGGAATATGCTATGGTTATTTGCCGGTCACTAATAAAGGTATAGATCGCAGCTGGTGATTCAGAAGATCATAATTTGATTAATAAAACCATCTAGCAGATCTATCATACAGTCAGTATATATCTGCGTTGCTCATTCGAACCTCGGTTCTCTTTTTCCGCCTTTCACTTTCTTAAACTTTCACCAACATGTCAATTGGAACCACACCCCAAGCATGGAAGACGCAGGATGTTGAGCGTGATAGCTCATGGATTCTGCGTCTCACCCCTGATCAAATTGAAGGTTTCCACACTGCGCTTGCGTACGCAAAGAAGCACCCTAAGCCTCTTCTTGATATGACCCAAGCCGACTATCCACTCCCTGAAACGTCCAAGAGGGCGCTGGAGGATGCCATCGCGACCACCCAAGGTCGCTGGGGCATGTGCCTTGTGAAGGGCTTTCCAGTCGACGAATGGTCTGAGGCAGACATGCGGGTCGCTTACTGGGGTATGGGACTTTATATCGGTGTTGGACGCACCCAAAACCGCGCTAGCGAGGTGATCAATGATGTGCGTGACGCGGGAGGCAGCTACAAGGTCAAGGGGGGCCGTGGTTACAACACCAACGCTGGTCTTGACTTCCACCAGGATTCGGCTGACGTTGTGGCCCTCCTGTGCCGCCGCACCGCCAAAGAGGGAGGAACTTCCAAGGTCATGAGCAGCATAGCGCTGCACGATCGCGTCGCTGAGCTTCGCCCTGATTTGCTTCCTGTGCTCGAATCCAACAACTGGTTCCACAGCTTCCAGAATACCCAAGATGCAACCCAGCCTCCTTACTATCGCTGCCCGCTCATGGGCAAGAGTGGTGCCTACTTCTGTGCTCGTACCAACCGCAAAAATACTGTTGCCGCGCAGCGCGACTTCCCCGACGTACCGCGGCTCACGGCGAAGCAGGTAGAGGCACTCGATTTCTTGGATACAGTCATGCCATCTGACGAGTACTGCTATACCATGGAGCTGGAGCGGGGTGATATGCAGCTGCTCAACAGCTTTGTAACGCTGCATTCGCGCACACCTTTTGAGGACTATGAGATACCGGACGAGAAGCGTCATCTTATGCGTCTGTGGCTTTCTATTCCAAGCTCTCAGCCTCTCCCCCCTCAATGGGCCGAGTACTGGGGTGATTCCCGGGCAGGAGCTGTCCGTGGCGGTGTTCGGGGTAGTGCTATTACGGAAGATTTCCTTCGATATGAGAAGCGGCAAGCTGAGGCTATGGGGATGCCTTCCAGAGGCTTCAAGCCGGTCGTGACGCGAGAGGATATGATCAAGATTGTGGCAACTGCTTAGCTCGGCGCTATCCTTGAATAGTTGCAATTGGCGGTTTCATGTATATATATCAAGTGACTATGGATTGTGCTTTGCTCTGATGCTGTAAGCTCCTTTACGTTTGGCCCCTTTTTATTTTCCATTTTCTGTTAATCTCTGTCCTGCCGTAAACCTCCCATACGCTATTTGATTATCTCAGCGCACTGAGTCTCGATTCATGGCGATAAAAGGAATTGCCGCGAAAGTCGAAATAGTGGTAATACTTTGATGACCCTTTAACAAGAACTCACCTTACCTGCGGTTTATATTTAGGTACTTTGACTTAGAGAACGGCATGCAAAGTAAATTCAAAGACAAGGTGGCTTGAACATATGCAATAGATAGTCTAGTGCTCGATAAGACTCAAAGACTCTGCCTTGGCCTTTTGAATTTATGCCCCATTTGTGAATGATACACCCCCTGCAAGCCGATCAATTTCCATCTCCCTCTGCAATCCCATCACGTCAAAGAAACCTTTGGGATCTAAACCCTGGGCTTCCGCATCATCTTGACCGGTCTCCATAAGATATTTATATGCACGGCGAATTGTGTGAAGAACTGACTTTCCCGCAGCCCCGGGGTAGATGGCGAGCTACTTTGAGATTAGACTGAAGCTCAACGAGGGAAGTTGATAGCGTGAAAACTGACCTTGACTCCCCACTCACCAAGCTTTTCGGGTGAGAACCACGGTGTCTTGCCGTTGGAAACCAAATTAACCATGAGCTAAATAATATCAGTATGTCATGATAATGAAGAACGTATAGATTTTCCACTTACAGGCATTGGTGCCAAAACCTTCACGGCATTCTTGATCTGTTCTTCTGTCTCAATTGCTTCCAAGAAGCCCATATCAGCGCCACATTCCCGTGCCGCGAGGAGCTATGATATACTGTTAGTTACGCTCTCGTCAAACGTTGTTCCCGCATCCAACTTACCCTATCAAGGGCAGCCTGGTATCCTTCAACAGCCAATGAGTCCGTCCTCGCAATTATCAATATATCGCTACCGCCGTATATAGAGTCCCTCCCAATCACGCACGCACGGATCCTTGACTTCCAGGTTCTGAGGGCGTGAAGGATTGCGCATCAGTACCAAAGTATAGCTTCCAGATCTGGGTTGGGAGCTCAAAACAAAAGGCTTACTCTATGTCCACAACTTCCTTGCCTTTCAGGTGACCACATCGTTTATTGGCAATTTGGTCTTCGATGTGGAAGCCCGCAACTCCACACGAGTCATACATCTGTACCATGCGGGCAATATTTGGTGGTGACCCAAACCCAACATCTGCGTCAGCAATGAGTGGGATTCGAGGGTCGATATTAGCAATCATCTGCGCGTTCTGCGCAAAGTCATTTAGAGACGCAAAAGCGAGATCTGCTCTTCCAAGACGCGCGGCCGTGGTCATAGAGCCGCCTTGGTACTATCGTCATGTTAGTTGACCATTTGGAGAGAAATCACAGCGGGCATGGAGTCACACCATAACTTGAAATCCTTGCTCTATAGCAAGCCTAGCACAGAGTCCATCATACACTCCCGGGGCTTGGACGCAGACACCCGGTTGAGAGAGCAGCTTTCGCAGCCGCGTTGCAGGCTTCATGTAAGGTTCCGGGGTGGTGCTGTCTGCCATGTTTGCTTCTTTGCAACAAAGTTTTCGTCGATGTAAGAGAGGTGGAACTACCATAGATATTGAGTGTAGTAGCTAGTCACAGTAAAAGGAAATTTTACTCGGTAGTCGGAGATTCGATGATTTATCACATGTTCGGAACCTCCGATACACGATATATATCTGATTCTACCGCAAGAAATGTTAAGTCCGGCTAAGCGCTCAATTTTTTGAAGGCGTATACAGCCCACCTTAGAGAAATATTAAATAACCAATTACGGGAAGATAATTGTCATTAAAATCCTTACCCCAGAGCCAAGAACCGCCTAAGGAGCAGAGATTAGGATAATAAATTAACACCCGCTTTGACCTTCCCAGATAGGCAATGAAGTGGAGTGCGGAGTTTGGGCCGTTGAGTCCCTCCAGGTATCTTCGGACCCTCCGTTTCTCCCGATCTTCAACATCTACGCTTCTCCATGGACTTCTCCGGGGTAGTTCCACCTGCAGATAGACCCGTGTCTCCCAGAACGGGGCAATTTCCCCAGAGCCGCAAACGTGGCATCGGGCGGACAGCTTGCTCGCGATGCAAGACACGAAAGCAGAAGGTATGCAGATTGCACTACAATCCCGAAGATACTAAAGCCCCGTCAGTATTGATTATTCGCTTTTGTAGTGTGATGGCCAGCTACCCGTCTGTTCCAACTGTACGAAATCAAGGGCCACTTGCGACTTGCAAAATGTCCGTGGCGAGGATTTAGTGGTCGCAAAGTACGTCCCTTCATCGTTTTGTTGTTAGAGAGACTAACAACAAATCAGGTACATTCATGCCCTTGAAAACAAGGTCGCTGAACTGGAAATTCAACTCCTACAATACCAACATTCGCAGGCCGAAAGGTCCGATGCCAGGACTCCGTCGAGCGGCACGCCGGGGCAGATGAGCATTGCCGACGTAACAAATTCGCTCTGTCTTTCTCTTCCCGACACATCTTCAGGAATAGAGCTCTCCCAGTTTGCACTCCATCTTGCCCTCAATATTGGTGAAGTCTCCAAAGCCTCGGCGACCACTGGTCGTACTTCAACCGGTGACTCTGGTCTGTCCGAGGAGCATCCAGAAAGCTCCGCTGCCGTGGGAAATTACCCATTCACAAATGATATAGAAAACGTGACCCATGGCACTGGGCCACCATCAGATGAACTGGGTGTAAAACTGATTGAGACATATTCGGAGAGAGTTGACTCGAGATATTCGTTCCTAGATCTAGATGAGATCCTGCAGTGGCATCGAGATAGGGAACGTCTCTCCAGTATTAGCCTGCAGTCCCTGAGTGCCAGCCAGCAGTTTGGATTGTTCAAATTGTACCTCGTGTATGCTGTTGGATCTGGTTTACTTTCCTTGACGGAGAAACAAGCGTCATTACCCACACCAGAGGTCAGTGATACCACATTACCTTCTCCCTGACCACAAAACGAATAGTCAGCCAACTACCAAACCAGGCATTTTATGCGACGGCAATACGGCACATCTCCGCGGCACGAGAACCCCGATCGCTAGAGAACATCGAGGCCATGGTGCTTTTAGTGATCTTTCACCTTCGTTCCTCGATCAGTCAAGTGCTATGGTATCTCATCGGATTTGCCATGCGCACCTGCATTCATTTGGGAATGTATCTTTCACGGCGCGAAGCCGACCTGCCCCCCGCTGTTATTCAAAAGCGTCGGAAGTTGTTTTGGACTGTGTATTCTCTTGAGCGCAACATTTCTATCGCACTCGGCTATCCTGTTAGTCTGCCCGATCGCTTGATTGATGTCCAGATGCCCACTCTGATGCGAGAGGATGATCACAAATTACGGCAAGCAATCCATCTGTTCCGACTCAGGAGAATTGAGTCTCGCATTCATCATTCTCTATATCGCATTGACCGCACCCTGCAAGAGCTTTTGCCAAAGGTTCGAGGATACTATCAAGAGTTACAAGAGTGGAAGGAAAGTTTACTGGCGTCTGTGTGTCTGGATAACAACAATCGCCCGGACTATTTACTCCTCCACTACCACCGAGCTATTCGCCTCCTCATGCAGCCTTTTCTCTCTATTTTACCGAGCTCTGATCCATATTTCAAAGCTTGTGTAGAGTCCGCGGGACAGATTTGTCAACTACATAAGAAACTGCACCAGAACGCAGCGTATGGACATAGCTTTATCGCCGTCCAGACCGTCTTTGTTTCTGGTATTATGATGTTATATTGCCTATGGACACACGAGAATGTTTGGAGTGTGCGGTTGAGCAACAATATTCGAGCTTGTTCAAGCGTTCTGTTCGTTATGGGCGAAAGAACTCCGTGGGTTCGGCGGTACCGCGACGCATTTGAGGCGCTGGTGACCATGACCATGGAAAGACTAGAGACCCAACAAGAATGTGACGCCAGGGATATTGCAAGCATCATGGAGGATGTTCCCATGCAGAGCACGGGGGTCCCACCGCTTCATGACACTCAAAGTGGTGGCAATGTAGCTGCCGAGTTTCCGGTAATGGAAGGGTCTGGACTAGCACAAGGAGAGCCTATGCCCCAAGCGCTGCAGGTGTTACAGGACAGATGGATGGAGTTCGATACAATGGCGGTTGTAAATGAGCTCGTCACCTGGGTAGATCCCAACACTCCCCGGGCGGAAACACCATGGATACCAGGTTACGGGAGTTTTGGAGACACCAGTTGGGAGGCATGGCAGCTACCATGACGAGAAACCGTGCATGCAATTTTAATGAGACTAAAGCACATATTATCGCGATTGGCTGTCTTCAGGTTGGGAATTAGTTGACTCCTGAATTCTAACATTTAGATATATTGAAGATACTATGTATAGCCATATTATTTATGGTCTTCGTTCAACACATATGCACCCGTTATGCATGTCGTATAGGCCCCTATTCTTGCTTTCTGGCGTCGTCCACCCACTTTCTGTCTGGTTGATAAGGGAACTTAGACCGGAAGTGCTTGGCGATATCCCGCCTGGTCGTCACCCAAACGTCGGGTTTATCGGCGACGTATTTCATAAAGTTGCGAAGCGCCTCGCATCGACCAGGTTTGCCGATGATACGGGTATGCAATGGAATGTTCATCATCTTGCCGCCTTCGCGGTACAGCATGTCGAATGTGTTCTTGAGGTACTTCTCATAGCTCTCGCCCACGCTAGAGCCGAACCCAGGAGACATGTGGAACTTGCCGTCGTTGCAGTCATACTAGCCTTGGTTAGTATATATTGCCATCACCTGGATATCGAAAATGGCAGGCTTACATTGTAGGGGATCAAGAGCATACCCTCCCGCTCGTTCTTGGGCAGGTGGTCTTCCCATGGCAGGTCGAGCCAGTAAGGAACATCATCATTGTAACACTCGGATGACCAAAGAAACTCGGCACCCATCTCCTTCCATATTTCAGGGAACAGATGATGCGTTTGTGGTGTTCCACGACCAAAGTAGGCTCCCACAGGCATCTCGCCGGTGACTTCCTTCAACATCAACAGACTCTCCTTCACATATTCCTTATCCTCCTCGAGATTAAAGTCCCAGAAGTCCTTCCACCGCAGCCCATGCGTAGCGATTTCATGTCCATCGCGTACCAAAGCTTTGGCAAACGTTGGGTTCTTCTTCAGGGCGACTGCAACCGCATATGTAGTAAAGTTCCAGCCAAACTCTTTGAACAGGCGCATCAGTCGCCATGAGGATACACGACTCCCGTATTCGAAGTCCTGTTCGGCATTGAGGTAGCGCGCATTTTCACGGTGTCCACCTGAGGCACCCTTTTCCCACAGATACGGCTCCGAGATACTGTCGCCATCCAAGATACAGCGCTCACCACCCTCCCTAGCAGGAGTCAGTTTGTGCTCTGTAAAAGTAATACCACGAGTTTAAGGGAAATCTTACTCATAGTTCAGCACAAACGAAACAGCAATGCGAGCGCCATTAGGCCATTTGGCGTCGAAGCCCTCCTCGCCGAAACCTTCAAAGTCTCGGTGGACTTGATACTTTGGATCGATGTGAACCATTGTGAAATGATGTGTGCCGAATGATGAACTCGGATATAATTGAGTGTAAATTTTAGGGAAATCACAATTGAATAAATGACCTCGGGGTTAAGCTACTGGCAAGCCTCCAAGGTTATTATCTCGGCTGATATCCGATATCTAGCGGGGTTCGGTCCATCCGTCGGAGCCTCCGAGCACCGATTGTGAGGCGGGAACTTCCTCAAATCGCGGAATTCAAAGCGAAAGAGGGAATAGCAGACACAGCCCGTGTCGCCGGGATTTGATCAAATGGGCTCCACTTCTTGGTCCGGGCAGCTGACTCTTGAGTCATTCGATTGTGACTCCAAAGCTCAATCCTTGGCCATGATAAGGATTTGACACAAAGGTGTTTGTAGAGCATCTCAAGAATAGAATCGCAAACGAGCTTCACCACACTGCACATCACTATTGACAGTCGTCAAACACCATGGCTCCAACTCGAGACGAGATGCTTTCCCTGGCAAAAGGGCTGTCATTGGAAATCCCGGAAAACGAGATTGAAGACTACGAGACGCTTCTTGCGCGAACCCAAAACACATTAGAGCTGGTCGCTGCCATGGATGGTGAGCAAGCAAGGCCAAGCTTCCTCCGAAGCGTCAACTGATCAGCATCACCGCAGATTACCAACCCGAACCAGACCAGACCACCAGCCCGAGACAGAATATCCACTTCCCCCAACCAGCCGATAACCCCCTCGGCGCATGGGCCTGGCGTTTCGATCTATCGTCTAATTCCCCAAGTTCCAATGCCTTGAAAGGCAGAACTCTCTGCCTGAAAGACAATATTTCCGTTGCCGGCGTACCGTGTTTACTTGGCACCGACACCTTCCGCGACTGGGTCCCACATACCGACGCCACGGTGGTGTCGCGCATTGCTGACGCTGGCGGCATCATCACTGGTAAAGCCGTATGTGAGAACCTGTCCCGTGGAGCCGTCAGCTCGACTGCAGCAACTGGCCCTGTGCACAATCCGTATGCGCCGGGGTACTCAGTAGGAGGTAGCAGTTCTGGCACGGCGGCGCTTGTGGCGAGCGGGGCTACGGATATGGGAATTGGATGCGACCAAGGAGGCAGTGTTCGCATCCCGGCTGCCCTAACGGGGCTGTATGGGTTCAAGCCAACGGCAGGGTTGGTACCATACACGGGTATTGCGAGCAATGATGCGAGCTTGGATTATGTTGGGCCAATTACTACCACTTGTATGGATAATGCGGTATTGTTGGAGGTGATTGCTGGTGCTGATGGTTTGGATGACCGTTCAGGGGCGGGGATTCCTTTTCCTACAGATGTACCACGTTATTCCCACTTGCTGAGGGAGGGTGGTGCAGCTGGAATCGAGGGGTTGCGAATAGGCATTTTGAAGGAAGGTCTTCCTGCTCAGACTGACCCGAATATAGAGGAAAGATTCAGAAATGCGGTCAATGTCTTTGAAAAGCTAGGGGCTAGCGTGCAGGAGGTTAGCGTTCCTCTTCATTCTTATGGCAGATCGGTATACTCCGTAGTCAGCAAGATGGGGAATCATATGGGGATGATGGGACAAGCGACAGGTCGACGACAAATGATGTTGACAGACTTGTTTGAAAAGAAAGGCCTTCCCTACACGCCCGATGTGGTTAGCAAGGTAATTCAAGGCCACTTGATCAGTATGCATGTCTCCAAGCCGCCGCTGACATGTGTCCTAGATGAGCATTATGAGCAAGGAAGCTCTCCTCACCGGCGAGTTTGCCTGGCAGCGATATGGAACCGTATATCCAAAAGCCGTGAACATCATGCGAAAGCTAAAGGATCTGTATGACAACGTTTTGTCTTCAGTGGACTTGATAATAATGCCCACGACCCTTGTGCCTGCAAACCGCCTCCCAGTTGCCGAGGCAATGCCAGTTGTCCAAATGGAAGCGGCGAAAGGGATGACAGAAAACACTTGCCCATTTAACGCCACTGGACACCCAGCGCTAGCAATCCCTATCGGATTTGTGCCTGCAAATGGGGATAAAAACATCAAGTTACCCGCCAGTATGCAGATTGTGGGCAAGTGGCACGATGAGCTGACTATTTTGCGTCTTGCACATGCGTGGGAGCAAAGTATCAACTGGAAAGAATTTTGAAGATAGGCTACACAACAGTTCGTTTTCTAAATCCTCTCTTGGGTGAAAAAAAAATAGCGTCGTAGAAATCGTGATTATGTTTGTCAGTGACAGTTCGAAGCGTGAAGATTATCAATACCCATCTCGATGTACGTATGTTACCTAGTACATACACTTAAGGCTCCTTTCGCATAAACACAATCCATGAGACAGTCAAAGTTTCCCAGAACATGCCTTGTACTTTCCCTAAATATCAATTACTGTTTACCTGAGAACCTTTGTAATCGTGGGAAGGAAGGGATACATGTATGTTCTTTATTTTTGTTGTACATATTATCCTATGTAATATCAACATGCAAGAAACCAACTTCCAACGGCACGTCAACGAATAACCTAGAAGCTAAACAGTCCGCTGCGGGCCTTTCCGTATGGATACACCACTAGCGCGGAAATGAACAAACCAATCGTGATGCCAATAGCTACCTGGATCATACCAAACCCTAGACTGAATACAGAAGTACCAGATGATAAGCCAGCTCCGGGCCCTGAACCAGCGCCACCACCATGAGACCCGAGATTGTTGCGAATTTCATCCGCAGACTCTACACCCGAGATGAGAGAACCTGTCGCGGCAAGTCCCGATGGAACCAGAACGAAAATGGCAGGCAGAATAGCGGTTGCAGCGTGGCCATGCCAGAACCGGCTGTATATATTTCCCATGATGCCAACGACAAATGCGCCGACTGTATTTGCGACCTGGGAGTTCGATCCCAGTTTCTTCGTGCTAAAGTAGTTGCTAATATAGCCAGCCAGTGCGATGGCGCTCATGGGCGGGAGCTGTTTCCATTTTCCTTGGTTGATGATCAAAAGCCAGACGGTCTGGATTGCGACGAATGGGAACCGTTGAACATAAGGGTTCTTAAAGGCCCCCTTGTCTGGGCATTGAGTGTCGGATACCGCATTGTTGTCTATCAGCCCATAGATGGTTGTGCCGACGGTAATTCCATATCCAATGAATAACGAGAAGAGGAGAGCGTAGACCATCCGAATCGAGCCAGCGATGATCTGATGGGACTGGAGTTCCAAGCTGCTACAAAGAACAAGGAAGCCTGGCAATATCAATGCAATCGATGATTGCGCAATGGCAGAAAAGCAAAAGAGGTACTGTGGCTTGCCATCCACAACTCCAAGGGTGATGCTCCCGAAGGCTCGGGCGAGGAAGGACGTCACAACTGTCGACGTCACTTCAAAGACATTTGAATACAACACTGAACGAGGCGCGGCGATATGTTGCATTAAACCAACAAGAATGCCATTGAGAAAAATAATTGGCATATCAATCGGCCTGGCACTAAAAGCAAAAGGCCCCACAGTTGCAGTTGCCAGCCCATACACCAAGACAATAATAGCCTTGTGATACTGAGGCTTTTTCTTGATGACTGAATCGAGCTCCTGGATTGCTTCTTCAATACCGATCACATCATGGATGACATTTTTGTAGATGAGATGTGTGTCCGATAGGCGAGCCAAATCAATTCCCTGGGCTACTCGAACCAGCTTTACCTCCGTCGTGCGAGTGGAAGGGTCATCGAACGACATGACCATGCAGCCCGGCAGGTACAGGAATTGGCTGTCAACCTCCAATACCTTTGAGGTCATCTGCATGTATTCTTCGAGCCTATGTGTGGGAGCACCGAATAACATCAACGCTCTGCAGAGCTGCATGATATACCGCTGCCGACAGATAATCTCTGCAATGTGCACTGTAACTCGAATTTCATCCTCAAGCCGCACATTGCGACCACCGCTGCCACCCTCTTTGTCCCGACGCTTCGAGGCTTGTGACAGAATCTCGCTCGAAACAGGAGTGCTCGCACCACTGAAACTGTCTGCGCTCCCACCAATCAAGGTCGAGGTAGACGTATTTTGGGGCTTTTTGTACCATTTCAGTGGCTTTCCCTTCTTGGGGGCTGAGGCCCCGACTGCGGCCCCGGTTGGGGTTGGGGCCCCTCTGGAGGCGGATTCTGTGCTGCGGGACGAGTCAGTTGAGGTTCGAGACTGGTCTCCAGCACCTTGTTGCTGACTACCTTGCAATTTGATCAATTGCGACAAGACCCCACCTCCGCCAGAGCGATATCTCAAGCTCGCGTCTGCTCCTGTCTCATTCTCTTCGTCTTTAAACTCGGTCCCGGCGTGAGGATAAGGCTTCCCACGACCCTTGCGGCGTTTTTGGGAATGATCTTGGGTCAAATCTCGCACCAGACGATGAGCCTCGGAGCTGGACGCTTTCTGGTGCCGCTGCTTCTCCTCTACACTTTTGTGCTTGTCATCTGTCATATCAGATAGGGGAACTGCACCACCGGTCGCCCAGTCCGCGTGATACCTCCCGGCTGATAAGTCGTCTCCCTCGTGCTGTGGGCGACCCAGACGGTCACCAAACTCCGATGCTCTCTGTCTGAAGTTCCTGGTCATGGCTCGCCATCTCTCCCCTGTGGATCGCTGCTCGGGTGTCTCGGGCTCCTTCTTCTCATCATCCTTCTTTTCATCCTTTACAGGCCTATTCTGGTCTGTCCTTTCGACCCCTTCTGTCCCACCCGGTTGTGGCTCGCGATCTTGCAGTGGCGTATCGGCAATATCGGCGGATTCATGAGAGTATGGCATTGTCGGTCTATGGGGCAGCCCTTGACTCTGGGAATGTTCCCATTCTTCCCTGGGGCCTTGTGCTGGGGGGTTATGCCGAGCCCCCTGCATAGAATCCGCATTTGATCGAAATCGAACCCGGGGCGCTGGCTCCTCATCTTGTGGGCTGGTTTGAGGTGCATCCTGCCACACTTCGGACGAGCTTGTATTTTCTGGGTCCGAGTCCTCGCTGGGGCTGCTGATGGATGCTTCCGACATGAAGGTGACGCGTGGTTCTCACTATTTCGCCAACATCTAGCCTCTGATTGTTTGGGAGTAAAGGAATTTGTAGATTGTGAATCCTTTCTCTGGTGAAGGAATCTTGAACCACACGAGGCATGTCTAATGCCCTCGGGGTTTCCACGTAAAATTGGGCTATCATCATCGCTATATGAGCTCACGGAGACGTGATTGGGGAATACTGGTGAACCACGGTCGGCAATCAGCAAGGAATTTATTTTCGCACAGGTCAACAATGTAAAAAGCCATCATCTCAACGGGATTCAGAGCCCTTTCCCCCAGTCATGAGGTATTGTTTGCGGGTGTCGCCTCATCGGAAATCTATCCCACGCAAATCTCGGACTTGTAGGTTCCTTGGCGCACCATATTGTGTTCAATATCATGTAATTGCTATAGAAAAATGCATTGGCAGTTTAGAAGAAACAGATTTTACCAATTTGGCCGATGAGTAACTCTACGTCTTCAATGGTTGTGCCATGGTATGTAGACAACCTCAAGCTCCTTTTATATTTCTAAGTCGTGGTTACGCAACTTCATTTAATGATATATTAATTTCCATACTTTAATATATATATCTGTGGGTATGGCGTGGCCTAGTCATAAGCATATAGTCTCGGTTACTATAATATGAATCGGATAGCCAAGGTCCTTGGGCATACTTCATGCTGCATACCTACCGTTGGCATGGAAGTCTATATAAACACCTGCAGACCTTTGACTCAATGCAAGGGGTGAGGCGAAAAACCCTCTCTGTGTTGACATTCAGTTGAATGCCATGTGGCTCGAATCTAGAGCATTCGAAACGTGCCAAATAACACAAATTTTAACGATGACTTCTTACTGACACCTGTAATAGACGCGTTAGTTAGGGCTCATGAGGAATATGAATCAAGATATTGTCCAGAACTTTGGTGGTGATTTGGACACATCCATGAAGTAAATAAGGAGTTAGCTGAAAGTCTTCAACCCACTTCTTGTCCTTTCGTGTTGAAATGACACAAAAGAATACCCAGTTCAAGATGAACGTCGAATTGACACCACAGTACAAGGCTGTTAATCCTAACTGAGGATATTGAGCACTTCACTTCTACGGAGATGTGGATTAGCACAGTATAGTATAAGCCTGAAATCCCAGCAAGCCAAGAAGAACCTTGGAAGTTGTAGCGACAACATAAGCCTGCGATAGTTCCAATGCCCATTACGAATCCCGATTTTCATGTAAGGGGCGTCAATCATCCCCGATCCTCTCAGGCGGAGCATTCAACCTGTACCCACAGGTGTATACACATTCTTCAAACAAAGTAGTCTTCGTCTGCATTCCAAGATCATCCACATTGTATCTGTCGGAAAACCTGACATATGCCAGGGGATCATATTTTTAGGATCCATTCAGCCACCTTCTCACCCTGCTCTTTTCTATCTACTTCGGGATCGGGGTAGTGGTTTTGTGGTTGATTAAATATGAGGAGCCTCTCATATTTAGCAGTGGCAGCCATTGTGTCTCCATCATCAGGTTTTACATGGCCGCTGCACTGGTTGCATGCATCTTCATCAGATGCACTTCCATCCACAACTGTTGATGCAAGCCCGTCAAATATTGACGAACTCTTTGATTTGGCTCTTGCATCTTCTTTGGCAGATCTCACCGATGCACTATCCGGTGCTACTGTTCATCAACACTCGGGTGTCACGACTTTGTCGACTGCAGCAAATACTCTCTGCACAGATGTTGAATGCCTATGGAAGGCTGCCGATGCTTCGATTGCCACCCCTTCACCAGATGTGGCTAGTTCCTCTTCAGATATGACACAGGCTAGTATAACAGCAGCTAGCACTAATTTTGCGGTCCCCAATACTCTCGCAACAAGTCCAAGGACTCCACTGCCAAAGACCCCCACCCAATCGACAAGAGCCAGTGCTCCGACTCCATCGTATGTGCCATTTGATATCGTTATGGCATCCTTGAATGCTAACCAACCCGTTTAGTCCCATATCCGAGAAAGGGCATTCCCCTGCGACAAAAACATGTGCTGCCCCTACCCACAGATCACCGGACACCTACTGGCTTGACGAGCAGGACCACAACCAGCAAGGAGCAGGATTTGCCCCCTATGCCAAAACATCACTCTACCCGGTCTACCGCAATGTGATGGATTACTCGGTCGTCAATGATGGCTCTGGTGATCAGACTCCGAAACTACAAAAGGCCATATATGATGATGGCGTGGGCGGTAGTCGCAAGGGGCAAGGTGTCACGCGCTACCCTGCCCAAGTCTACCTTCCAGGCGGCGTGTACCAGCTTGGAAGCACCCTCAATCTGACTGTGGGTACGATAATTGTTGGTAATCCGTTAAACCCACCCATCATCAAGGCTGCGCCAGGATTTCATGGTGACTATCTCATCATGGGATATGATTCACACAACGGTAATCCAGAGACTAGTTTTGCAACGCTTGTGAAGAATGTGGTCGTGGATACGACCGCGCTCAAGCCGGACCGCCACTTCACTGCCCTTCAATGGGGAGTTGCCCAAGGGTCGGGTTTGACAAATGTTAAGATTCGCATGCCAACATCCTCCACGGGTCACACCGGAATCGAAATCAAGGCCGGGTCAACGATTGCTGTTACGGATGTGGTAAGTAATCCAGAGAAGCCCAATACAAAGAACAAACAGCCTAACAAAGTGTAGGATATTATTGGCGGAGTTATCGGGATCAAGAACTCCAACCAACAGGTCAATTTCAAGAACATAAATTTCCAGTCTTGCAGAACAGCTTTCTCTGCGGTAGGTGGGTGGACGGTGCTGCTCCAACAGGCAACCTTTGATAGCTGCGGCACTGGTATCGATATGACTGGCAATGGACTGGGTAGCCTAGTGCTTCTGGATTCTACTTCCACCAACACAGGACCGGTAATCAGATTCTATGACTCGTCCCGTGATTCTGGAAACCAAAATAGCCAGTTCCTCATTCAGAACCTGAAGCATGATACCCAGAACGCCATCGTGGTCGATGCTCAGGGTAAGGTGGCATTGGCTGCTACCTCTCATATCGATACATGGGTCTGGGGTACTGTCGTTCCAGAAACCTACCAGACTGGGGCAAGCTGGCAGACAAAGCGACCGGCCCCTTTGCTGGTAGGAGACAAATACTTTACGAAGGCCCAGCCCACATATCAAGATTATAGCGCAGCCGATATTGTCAATGTGAAGACCGTATCTGGACACACAGTGAAAGGTGATGGTAAGACTGACGACACCAAAGGTCTGAACGCTATCTTGGCTGAAAATGCCGATTCGTGCAAGATCACATACATCCCCTTCGGGGTATATCGAGTCTCGGACACTCTTGTTGTCCCAGTTGGAACCCGCATTGTCGGAGAAGCATGGTCTGTCATTTCTGGATACGGTGACAAGTTCAAGGATTCCAAAAATCCGAGGCCTGTCGTTCAACTTGGAAGTCCCGGCGACATCGGTGTGATTGAAATTCAGGACATGCGATTCTCTGTCGGCGAGATCCTACCGGGTGCCAAGATCATTGAAATCAATGCCGCAGGTGATCAGCCCGGCGATGTTGGTCTTTGGAACACAATGGCAATGGTTGGCGGTACCGTCGATACTAGTATCTCCGGTGCTTGCACTTCGCAAGACACCAAGGACTGCATGGCTGCATTTATGGTGATGCACCTGACCAAGACCTCATCCGCATATATTGAGAACTTCTGGGGATGGACCGCCGATCACAACCTTGATAGCGAGTCACCTATCACGATCATCTCAACTGGCCGCGGAATCTTGGTCGAATCTACCAAAGGCACCTGGCTGACAGGAACCGGTTCCGAGCATCACTGGCTATATAACTATAACTTCCACAACGCTCAGAATGTCTTTGCGGGTCTCCTACAAACAGAAACACCGTATATGCAAGGTCAGGGTGAGTATCAGGCCGCGCCAGCGCCATGGACGGCCGTCGCCAAGTACGGTGACCCTGATTTCTCGTGGTGTGCTGCAAATGACCAAAAGTGTCGCACTGCGATAGCTACGAATGTCGACGGCGGATCCAATATCGCGCTGTACAACTCAGCTGCCTGGGCCTTCTTCGACGGGTTCTGGAATGGTAAATACGATGAGCCTTGCACCGGGAACTGCCAAACCAACATGATGCGGGTGACAAATGATCCTCAGAACCTGGTTTGGTACTCGATCAGCACGCGCATGACAGACGTTATGGTGCTCGATGGGAAGAGCAATCCCCGTGAATCAAACCACAAAGGCGGGTGGGAAGGCATCATCCAGGTCTATGGCCAGTTCATAGCATAATATGTTATGTTGCATCACTGGGCATGCATTTAATAATTTAGATTATACTTATTAATGAAAGGGTTCATGGGAACAGTCCCAAGTTCCTCGATGACGATATTTTGGTGTTCAGGCATTTTCCCTGTTTTCTTGTTTTAGCACTGCACGTGATTCGTGTGCCTTAAGCCGCAGGTGGAGATCGCCCCCCGGCAACCGAGTCCACGACCAGTCATGATACACTAGGCTACTTGGCTGACCCTTCGCAATACCTCAAACCTGCTACATGACGCGTCATCATAGCCCTTGGCTAACAGCTGAAAATGCAGGGGCCGCTAGATATCTTTGGAAATTGCGAGTGGGCTGTTCCACTTATAATGACGGGCGCCGAGACCGGTTTATCCAACACAAGAGCTGACTGGGTAAGACTCGCTTTCCTTACCATTGACCATAACTTTCGGTAAAAGATCTTCATCCAAGCCACCCCTATGTGTCACAATAGTACTGGTACCGGGGGCCAAGGCAGCAAGCAACATACCCAAAACATTGCAATGTTCTTTTGTTTTTTTTGCCGTGGGCTGTGTTGCATTGCCCGCGAGCGAGATGAATCAACTTGCGGGAACATGCGAGAACATGCAGGTTTTGGTCTTGCAGGTATTTTCCGGGGGTGAGGGACTAGGGCGTTAGGCCAACCCCATAATTTGCGCCTTGATACCAAAGTGGAGCCTGATATGACGATGCCATTGCCCAGAGCCGTATAGCCGGATATCCAATCCAGTTCTCTGCAACAAAACAGGTACAACACGTCCGAGCCCCTAATTGCTACAGGGCTGAGGTCATGTCGCCACTCCCGCCTCGGCACAGCCATGCCCCATCGAACTCCGGATGTTTCTATCTATAGGAAACTAATGCTCATGGACCAAATATAAGGAGGACTGTTCCCCCGGATTTCCGGTTCATTATTTCAAACCCAAAGTCCATTATTTATTTACAATTTAAATCACCCAAACCAACAACCAACAACACCTTTCCAATAAACCTTTTTCTCTACAATCAAAATGAAGTTCACTTTGGTCTCCTCCGTCCTCTTCCTGGCCACCGCTGCCATGGCCTCTGATGTGAACTCCATCGTCTCCGATGTCGAAGGCGTCTACTCCACTGCCGTCGGCGGCAGCGAATCCCTCGGATCCGAAGTCGCCTCCAAGGCCACCTCTCTCGGGGAAGCCGCGAGCTCCGCCGGATCTGGTGTCATCTCATCTGCTAAAAGCGAGGCTTCATCCCTTGGCTCTGCCGCTGCCTCCGAAGCCAGCTCCATCGGCTCTGAGATCACGAGCCGGGTTGTCACCGCGGTTTCAGCTCAGACTACCAAGACTGACTCCGAGGGTAATCCCACCGCTACCGAGTCCACCACCATAGTCAGCACATCCACTGGGTCTCCTTCCGGCTCTGCCACCCCCACTGATAATGCCGCCTTCGCTCGTCCCACGGCTGTCGGCGCTGTTGCTGCTGGTATGGCCGGTCTCCTTGGTGTCATGGTTGCACTGTAAAGTGTTGATACCTTCATCCTTTTATTCTGGATTTGATGCCAGGCATGATATCCACTACGCCTCTTCACGACTCTGCTCAAATTTCTGTTCGTCGCTTTCTTCCTTACATCTCTGAAATGAGGTTTAATACCGGCGTTCTGTTGAAGCTGTAAATATACCTCGACTGTACAATTTTCATTTTGGTCGACTATTTCGACTATACCAAATCATTTCATGTTGATGGTCATGGGACCCATAACCATGTTCTAGAGCATTTATAACCAATGGAACAAATCTTTTTGATTAAATCTCCGAAGCTAGCAGCCTTTCTCATATAAAGTAAACATAGACATGATTTATGGTCACCTCGGCGTCCAGTTTTGATAGCGACGTCTGCCACTGCCTGACCTGGCTGCGGACGGTATTCCCTCAAACAGATAGCCCAATGTCTGGATAGCTCCCTCAAAACTGCTTTCGCAGTCCCCATGATGAGTGGTTCGGTGACTTGGAGGGGGTTGTTGCGATTTAGACATTGTGGAATTTGAACATGGACGACAATGGGCTGAGATGCAGAGTGGTGAAAATAAGAAAATGACAATTGCACCAAAATTTGAATATAATACATATTGAATATGACGTAGAAGATACACTTCCTTTATCTGAAATCCGAGGCGTCTTATCAAACACGGTAGTAGGTCGAGTTAACTTGTTCTTCATATTTTAAACTAATCAGCCCCAGTGAAACCAAACGCCCATCTATATATGGATGTAGCAAGGACAAGCCGAGAGATAGGTAGAAGTGTTCATCGGGAACCAAAAATATTCGTGCCTTCAAACCCCTAGTGGGAAAGGTATGATGGGACAAACCCAATTGCAAAGGATATCGCGGGGGTCATCATGTGTCAAAGGCAGAGGTAGAGAGAAAAAGCGTCATTCTTTCTTTCGGCCAAAAGATCCGGGTTCATCGATCGGGAGCACACGGGGAACTGCGGCGACAACGATATTATCTGAGGCAGTAGAATTACTCTCGTCGACAGTCATCTGGGGTCCAGTGTACCAACGCCGTGCATACAGGAAATAATAAGCCATACAGCCAAACCAAACAAAGGCGTTTATTACGATGGTGTAGTTCATGTTCGACGCTACCGTTAAGTAAATTGTTAACCATCGGTCGAGCGGCCTTGCAGTTTTCAAATACGTACAAGTTGGGCTATGACCCTCAGTTGGGAACATAGACAGGATAACCCCAAAAAGAAGATAAACAATGGCAACCCAGGCAATGAGCCTGCTGAAGTGGCCGGTATAGAACTCTCCTGGGGTGAACCGGTCCTCGCCCCAGACTAAGCGACAGAAGATCGGAGTCCCCCATGATAGATAGTTGCTTGCTACAAATAGTGAGAATAGGGCGTTGGCGGCTGCTGAGTTGATCAGAGACAAAAGGCCCAGCAGAATAGAGACAAATACTAAGCCCCAGATCATGCGCACCGGTTGATACTGGATGCGCTTACTGACCTGGCGGAAGAACCTGGAAAATGGCAGTGCGCCATCGCGAGAAAAGGCCCATGCTTGGCGAGAAGCAGCAACAATCAAGCTGAGACCGATGAGAAACTGGACGACGCAGAGTACTGCCATAAATGCCAACGCACCGTCTCTCCCTAATGCGTCATAATAGATCTGAGCCATTGGCTGACCGAACTTGGTGCTGATTGTCGCGCTCACATCCGGGTTCATTGTAGCGGCAATGACAGACAGCACCAAGAAGCCAAGCACAAATGCAGAGCCCGCCGACCAGACGATTCCAAGAGGAACAGCCTTGGATGCATGCATAGCTTCTTCGCTCATGTGCACGCAAGAATCAAATGAGCCAATTGACCAGATCGGAGCGAGCCATGCCATCATAAATGCCCATCCGGTCGGCCATGTAGTCTCATTGTCAATGTGACCGTAGACATAATGGCCAGGGTTGAGGGACCCGCCGCGCGTCACTTTTCCAACTGGCAAAGCGATTACCGTCGCAACAACAAGGGCAATGTTGATATAGATGCAAAATGTCTGGATTTTCGGCATTAGGCGTCCACTTAAGGAGCCGCATAGGCCGTGGAAGAGAATGAGGCCGACGTAAACAGCATAGATCACGCCGCGCGAGGCGGACCACCCATCTCCCCGTGATATCGAGACGCAAGAGAGGATCATGAGTGCGAGGGTATCTGTACAACAAAGTAAGTGATGTGATGGATGGCAATGGGTATGGATCATCCTCACAGTCCACCGAACACATGCCACCGATCAAACCCAAAGTGTTGCTATATCCGATCAAGAAACTCAATGGGCTCTTCCACTTCGGTCCGGCGAAATAATGTGTCCACCAATATAGTCCTCCAGCTGTCGGCATGGCAGAGGCGAGATCAGCCTATGTGATATCAGTGCGATCGTTCCACAGATGACCTAATGAATATTTCTACCATTGCCAACCCAACCAGAAAGATGAAGATGCTCGCTGTGAACCATCCCTATTCCACAATCCCAGTCAACCAACAGCACAGCCAGACTCATGGGAACTCAACCCCTACCCAGACCATGCCAACCGGACCCACGGGGAGAGAGAACGAGAGTGTCGACGCGATTGAGGGCACCAGGCCCATGATGCTGAATGCGATTGCGAAAACCTGGGGGGTGGAATACTGCCGACGAAGTTCTTGCTTGTAGCCCATCCGTGCTAGAGAAGGGATTAGCGACGAGTAGTTCTCACAAAAGCAAGCACATTATCATACCAAGCAGCTGCACGTCCCCGACATCTGCCCTCATATGGGCCGCGACCGGTGCGACTGCCTCGGGGTCGGCAGGTTGCGAGTTCATCATGACCACTTCAACTCAGGTTGTGTTCGGATGGACATGGCGGGGATGAATTATTTAAATGCCAAATCGACTTGGAGTCAAGTCAAGGGATGTGGATCTTAGAAACTCATCGCCAAAGCTAACCCATTGGTGGGGAGTCCAATAATTGCGGATTCCTGCAGGAAACAGGACGTGCAGCGTGATTACGGCCCTTACGTTGAAATTTCAGTACTAATGTGAGGTATTCGTGGCCACTTCAAATCTCGCGGCTATTGAGAATGTTGGCACTATTGAGGCTGGTCAGCGCCCATTTTGAGACCATAACTGCACTCACACGAGCTACGTGCATCGTGCAGCTCAGCCAACTTGACCTGGATTTGCCGACCCTTCCAACTCCAATATTTGATGAGTTCCAATTGCTTCATATGCTTTCAATTCAATTTCCACAGTTACTTGACAGATAAACTATTATCGGCTTCATTGCCAGTCTGAAATATTGACTCACATCCTGGACCATTCATCAACTTTCTATGCATAGCGACAACGCATTCAATTTTACCATGATTATGTTCATCGCCTTCCCACGAAACAGCCTTTCGGATACTGGAGCAGCATTAAACATGCTCATCGAATGGAATTTCTCTTCTAGGGGATGAGGATTCAGGGACATTGGCGGTGAGGGTATTCTCCGAACCAATCAATGACTCCTTTCTGGCTACCTCTTCCTCGTTGTAATCCTGGCCAGGGTTGATCCTCTCCCAGCGCGCAAAACAGAGTAGTTTATAGAACCCAGAGGCAAGAAGGGACCCGAGCAGAGGACCGATCCAATAGATCCAATGGTATCCTGGAAATGAGCGGTTGATCACATCCGGTCCGAGGGAGCGAGCAGGGTTGAGAGATCCTCCAGTATAGTAATCACCTGGTGTGAAGAGTTAGCACAGTACGGTGCGAAATACTAATCCGAGACTGCTTGTTACTTACCAATCAGTTCTGCAACGAAGAACGCCAGGCCAATCCCCACCGGAGCTAAATAGGTGGACTTGTGCTTCACCACTGCCAACATGATGATGACAAACACCAGCTGGGCCGTCAAAAACATCTCAATGAAGAGTCCTTGTGAAATTGATGTGCCACCGCCGAGTCTGGTCTCGCAGTTTAGAGGACCTGGGAACATGGCACTCGTCACCCCCGCTGCAGCAATTCCGGCGACCAGTTGCGCCGGGAATACACACAGCCCCCGGGAAGGGGGCATGCCACCAGTCAAGCAGAGAGCAAGAGTAACCTGGTGAATGTAAGCAAATATTCCCATTCTTCTGCGGTGATATCCATACAGCCGGGTTGAAGAGACCGCCCGTGACTCGGTAGAACGCCCAGACGTTCACCGTCAAAGCGAAACCAAAAGAAAGCGACGCATACAGCAAATTAGAAGTATTCGGCGGGGAGCCAGGTGGCGGCTTGGGAGTATTGGAAACCTGTGTACCTGCAAAGGAAAAGAGGAGAAACAGGAACGTCCCTACGAACTCGCCCATCAGGCAGAGCAAATTGTACCGCAGCTTAGGTGGGAGGCGCAGCATGGGCAACTGGCTAAGTCCACTGGAACTCAATACCTCCCCGAGCGTTGAGGCATCTGAGTCGCGTTTCTTGGACCGCATCGCGAAGGGTGGGCTGAAGTTGAGAGACTGAGGTCGGGGTCGACTAATGTCCTATCAGGATCCCTCGCAGGTGAGAACATCTCAGTCTTTTATACTATCATCAAGCTTTCACTTCACAGACATTGCATATCGCACACGTCACTACTCAATACGGAGGTGTCGCGCAACTGATTTATGTATCATCGATTAGTGCTCGACTCGACTGTTGAGCTTATTCCATTGCCGTAGTCCCATTTCCCAGGTTCGATGGAACAGACTCATATATATTTTCGACGTATAGGGTTGAACCGTTGAACGGGAGCATCCCGACTTCCGCAAACGGTTGTCAAGACCTCTCCAATCGTCATGCATAATGGATTGTCCAATGGTGCGTAGGTATCTTCTAGATCTGGGGCTCAAGTCTTGAAGATAAATCTCGATCCAGCCTGAAACGCCAGAACGGTTAAAGATGCAACTGCCTCCGAGAGTCCCCAAATATCTTCTGCCAAGAGCGGACAACATGCTGAGTAATCGGGATCGGGTTTCCCCGGAAGGTCTGGGGTTCGGCGACATTCTTGTGCATGGCACCACGTGTGGATAGAAAAGAAAAGAACATGGGTGTCTCTGCCTGTTTTAGGTTGCATTAAGGTCTTATATTGAAAGAACTATACATGTAGTATGGCGGGCCGATCCTCCAGGGACGAGGTACATATACATATATGTACACATCCACCTTATTCGAATGGAATTTTGTATGTATTACATTAGAAATTGAAAATATGTGATCCGATTTTGTGCAGTTGCATGTTGCCACGAGAAATTTTCGGCGGCTGAAAATTCCGAGTTAATCCCTTTATGCGTTGTATATCCCTCTCCTCCGCGGAGATGTTCTTCACTTCGGCAGTGAAAATCCTCACAGATCATGCCAGACACTCGAGGTTTTTCAAATCCCGTCTTTTACGTCTTAGCAATTCGGTTACAGTGGGGATAAATAGCTGGATAGCCAACGAAATGCAGCATTTGAATCGCTTTTATATTACTCACTTCCGACTTGTCATTTATATTTAAACCTCGTCCACCAGCAGTGCAAACGTCAACCGATTGTTCTCCTGAAACATAAAACAACCATGGCTTCTAACCCAGGAATGACTCCGGACCAAATCGCGCTCATCAAGGCGACGGTGCCTGTTCTCGTGGAACATGGCAACACCATCACGGCTGTCTTCTATCGCAACATGCTCGAAGCCCACCCGGAGCTGAACACCGTGTTTAACACTTCCAACCAGGTCAATGGCCACCAACATCGTGCATTGGCGGGTGCACTCTACGCATACGCCTCATACATCGATGACCTTGGCGCACTAAGCTCGGCGGTCGAGTTGATCTGCAACAAGCACGCCTCTTTGTATATCAAGCCTGACGATTACAAGATCGTTGGCAAGTACCTGCTCGAAGCTATGGGTGAGGTGCTCGGCGCGGCATTGACCTCGGAAATCCACGACGCTTGGGGTGCGGCCTACTGGCAGCTCGCAAATATCATGATCGGCCGCGAAAAGCAGCTTTACGAACATGCCGACGGCTGGACTGACTGGAGAGACTTCAAGATTGTGAACAAGGTCAAGGAATCCGAGGAAATCACTTCCTTCTATCTCGCCCCCGTCGATGAAAAGCCACTGCCAGCCTTTCAACCCGGCCAGTACATTTCCATCCAAACCGACGTCCCAGCTCTCAAGTACCCACAGGCCAGACAGTACTCTCTCAGCGACCAGCCCAAACCGGACTACTATCGCATCAGTGTGAAGAGAGAGCTAGGCCTCAACCCAGCTGCTCCAGGTGCTGCCACCCATCCTGGTTACATCTCGAATGTGCTCCACGATACACGCAACATTGGCGACAAAATCAAAGTCTCCCACCCCTGCGGCGACTTTTTCCTTTCCCCCGCTGACTCGGAAACCGGCAACCCGGTCGTGTTGATCTCTGCTGGTGTGGGCTTGACGCCACTGACGTCGATGCTGAACACATTGGTTTCTAAATCGCCCGAATCACGCAAAGTGCATTTCATTCATGGCACGCGTTCAGAGGGATTGCGTGCTTTCAAAAAGCACATCTCCGAGCTTCCAAAGCAATACCCTTCCATCCACACAACATTCTTTACGAGTCACCCCTCCGAGGGAGAGAAGGAAGGCGTGGACTACGACTATGCCGGGCGGGTGGACTTGTCTAAGTTGAAGGATCAGGACTTGTTCCTTGATGATGCCAAGACAAATTATTATATTTGTGGACCCGGAATGTTCATGACAGATATGGAGTCGGCTCTCAAGGCGAAGGGCGTGGGTGCCGATCGTATCAAGATGGAATTGTTCGGAACCGGTGGTGTCCCTCATTGAGTCCGGGGCATGATTACCAATTATATTTCTTAATTCATTATCTGGCGTTTAGAAGTGCATATCTCCTCTCTTAATATATCAAATTATGATTGACGAATGAAAGACTTCACAATATCCCTGGACCCATCTGCTGAGCAAGCAATGATTTTCTTAAAGGGGATAACTACAACCGGTTAGGGTGGAATTTGGGGAGCAAAGGGGTGATGTGATGTATCTTCTTTATCAAAAAGGAAACAGATCGACATCCATAGACTTATAGAGAAACCAACAGGGTCATTGCATTCGGTCATTACTGCCATAGACCGAATACCGAGCTTTATTTCTAAGCAGAAACGACCATGAAATGTATGTAGGATATAAAGACTAGGTATCCCAGTACCATCAAAAATCTTTCAACTACAGCCTACCAACTTAATCACCCATCATCCTCACCCTACATCAACATGGGTGTCAAAATCGGCGTCTTCCCCGCCTCCGGGGCCCTTGGATCAAGCATTGTGAACCATCTGGCGAAGCTAGTCCCAGAATCCGACCTGATTCTGATTTCCCGACGGCCCGAGAAGCTGGACGACATCAAGCAAGCTGGCGCTACGGTACGCAGAGCCGACTATGATGAGCCATCAACATTAGGCACAGCTTTTGATGGCGTAGATGTCTTGATGCTAGTTTCATATGCTTCATTCGAGATAGATCACAGAGTCAAGGTAAGGAAAATCAAGTAATATTGCACATATACCTAGTGAGTTGGTCTAATAACGATAACTAGGCACACCGTCTTGCTATAGATGCAGCCATCAAGAGTGGCATCAAGCACATCTTCTACTCCTCTCTTGGATTCGGCGGTGATCTAACTGATCAGAGCGTTGCTCATGTGATGGGCGCCCACATCGAAACAGAGAAATACCTATCTTCCCTGAAAGATACGGTGTCCTACACCTCAGTCCGCGAGGGTCTCTACGTTGAATCCTACCCGATCTATACCGCGTTCTACGATCTACAAAATCCAGCGGACAAAGTCACGATCCCTCACTCGGGTAAAGGCCCAGGCGTGTCGTGGGTTAAGCGCGATGAGCTGGGTGAGGCGACTGCCAAGTTAATTGTCTCGTATGTCAATGACCCGACGAGCTTCGAGTATTTGAACAAGGCTGTTCTGCTCTCTGGGCCACGGGAGATCTCTCTTGCAGAGACGGTTGAGATTCTCGGTCGGGCGGTTGGAAAAACGCTCAAGATTCGTGAGATCACTGTCGATGAGTATGTGAATATTCCTGGGATTGCTGAGAAGCAGACATACAAGGGGGTTAATCTGTCGAGGGAGTGGGCTACGGCTTGGGAAGCTATCAGACGGGGCGAGACAGCAGTTGTGTCTCCGGTTCTAAGTGAGATCTTGGGACGTGAACCTGAAAGCTTTGAAACTACTATTAAGGCGATGGTTGGATGAGCTTTTGTAGGCGCTAAACGAGAGGAAGTTCAGCCGTTTTAATGTCGCTATTCGTGATATTTTCGATTTGTACTGTTGGATAAAATAATACAGTAGAAAGACGTCCACGGTATATACCAACATGGAAAGCCTCGCCAAAACCACAAGCAACTCTCATCACGCCATTCTGTCATATCGACCCAGCGTCAAAACCAAGTAAATATTTAGGCGGTGTAGTTCTTGAGCTCCTTAACATAGAGCTTCTCGCCACGGTACACAGAGTTATGAGCACCGTACCAATAGATCTCCTTGACCTTGCTATCACTGTAGCCGTCAACGGCGAACCAATCCTTGCCGCCATGAGTGAACAAACCCTGGTCGTTGACACCAAAGCCAGTGACGTTTCCGCCCTCAGGGACAGCGCCAGAGTGAGGGATGGTCAGACCGACGGGCGAGACGGAGTTTTCAACGATGTAAAGGTTCTGGAAAGCGGTAGGAACACTGTTCTTGGCAGTGTATGAGACGAGGCCGTTGGGGCTGCCACCACGGACTAGAGAAATCATATATGTTAGGGATGATTCGCGGTCATGAGAAATTGGATGCTTACGGATCAGAATCTCATGGTCAGTGGTGTTGGCACCAATGTAGGCGTTTTGGCCATCTGTAAGGACGGTGTAGCCGCCCTCAGCAACAAGAGTGAAGGCGTTGGGGAGGTTGGCGGCGCTGATGGCGCCAACGAACGCGGTAATGGTAGCGAGAGAGAACTTCATTTTGAGTGTAAATTAGATTTATAGAGTAGATTTACACTTGATGAGGAACTAAGGACTCTTATATCTAAGAGCCAGATTGATCTAGCTTTGAACCAAGATCTAAACGGCTGGTGAGGTCATAAACTCGGGCGCGATTCCATTTTTAGATAAAGTGGCTACTCTAAATCATTGTTATTAATTCCATTGGGCGATCATGTCGCAAGATTGAAACATGTCTTGCAACCCTTCAAGGCGGAATTCATGCTTTGCTTGACCCGTCGCCAAAATAGTGGCTTAGCCCATATTCTATGGGATCCTACATATCATAACATTAATCTATTGTGTCTACCAGCTAGTCATGAGACCTTGAATGCCATTCAAAATTCCAACAGGCCCTGCATATCTGGCTAAAATCTATGTAGTCTCCTTCCCGAGAGGTGGAACGGAATCCATCAAGCCACCGTCGATCTTCAGGTTTGGGTGGAGAGAGCCCCGGGGAATTTCCTTTTTCGATTCCCATCCCATAGAGTTCCAAGTCCCCAATTTTCAGACCGACTACATGTTTCACTTCGGTTGTTTGTTGCTAGTCCGTCAGATGTGGTCCTAGCTTAAAGTTGTAAAATATCCGAACGTCGCGCGCTGTTCTCTCGGGGAAACTTGTGGATCAAAGCTATGGCCGATCTAGAAATAGGTTGACAAAGAGCTATTGGTTTGACATAGCCACTATTCTATAAGTAATTCCTTCTTCTTTAAATGCTTATTGGAAATCGACGATCTCTCTTTCGGGTCGGACAGGCGGGTTCTTTTTTTAATCTAAGCTCTAAGCAGTAAGGCAAGGCGTGATATATATTTCACCAGCTAAGACAGCCACATTTGATAAATATGTGTTGCGAGTTAAAAATGATGAGCCTATCACAATCAATATACTCTGTAAATCAAAGTACAATGAAGCCTTCATTGGCAAGTCAATCTAGCAAGACAGTAGCTAATTTACACGCCGGCAGTCACTTGCGCAGATGGAAGTAAAATGAGGCATCAGGGGCAGACATTAAATCCAGTGCCCCAGCAATCAGTTCCTCCTGAAATCCTAGAAGTAAGCGATACTAGGGAAATCATTGTAAACCACAAAATATGGGTGTCCAAACAGCATCCTCCCCCAATCTGGCGATTCTGCAGAGAGGCAGATGCTTATCTTCACTTATGAATTCATATGTGAGATCGTAGATCCTGTCACCCCTGTATATCAGATCCTAGTGCGACACCTCAATTCCACAATGTGCCCATCGAGTACACCCATATCAACCTCAGCCCATCCTAAGTATGTCGCTTAGCGATAATCTACAAAAGATAGAGTGGGGACCTCGGGGAACACATTGTATAATACCTCCGTCCGTACGTGTGAATAAATTATGTAAATAGTGGATCGCGTATTTACATGGGTATCCGCAATTGAGACATGTGCTTAACCGTATGATGTATATCTCGTTTGGGAACTAAATCCGAGCAGTCGTTCAGAGGCAACTTTCTTGAATGCAATCTAACTTACTATTGCGAAAAGTAAGGGTGATATTTCTTCCAAGCGAAGGTAACCATAGCCAGAGTTGAATAGAATAGAATATCATAGTTATCGAAAGGAATATCGAGCAAAGGCCCCGATAAAGTCATTTCATCGCCTAGGGCCATGAATAAGTTTCATCAGATCGCATGAACCAACTGGATGTACTTGGCAGCTAGCAAGCGAGAATCAAGCACCGTTAACGTTGTTCATTATTCAGGCCCCAGAAGCCACACTTCCAGATCTGGTGCTATATTTATCCCACAATCTGGCCCTAAAGAATAAAGCTATGTTAGACTTGAAGTAAAGTTCGCAGACTTCCAAGCGCATGAAAGTTGCCTCTGTGATTCATCGATATGGCAAAATTCATCCTCTCTGTATGTGATCGAATCCGGACAATGGCCAAGAGTATCCTAGGAGGAAGATCCGTCGAGAATTAAGAACCATGAACGATAGTCGGGACCGGAATCGAGTCAAGATCCGTGTATTTTGTGCAGATGACAGGTCTAGCGCCCGTTATTACTCCACCTGGTCAAGGCGTGCCGGGTCCCTCATCTTGGAAGTGACATAGGGGTAATCAGATTACCTGCAGGTTAGCCCCGGTCTAGAGGTCTACATGACAATATTTTTTAAGGTTGTGATAGATCTGAGATGTCAAGGGGTCATTAGCCACAAAAGTCTAACAATGTAGTATATCATTTTTTTTTTTTGCAATCAAGAACGGTATCGGTAAGGACTTCTCAGATCTCGAAAGAAAAAAAAAGAAGTACAATCGGATCGGCCCCAGCATCGGGGAGGATCAGAAGATGAACCCTCATGCCATAAAAGCGGAACTACTGACCGGATCCCAAACTGGAGAAACGGCTTCCGTCTACAATTCGTATGAACTCTCACAGGAAGCTTCCTGTATGGAGTATGGATTCGGTGGATATCGGGTTGGAGAGGGTAGGGCGAAGAGGAAAGGTGAGCATCCGAGTCACCCCACTTTAAAGTGCAAGTGGCGCCATATGAAGGAAAATTGGATAAGCGGGATTTACCCACTTCGCTACTGGACGACGGAGACCGATCGAGGCAATCCACGTCTAATTCACACTTTCTCTGTACCATTAATATACATCTGGATCTGATATGTTTGTTTTAGATGTACTTCGATGAATCGTTCAGAAAAGTGGCGCTGATTTTCAGTCAGACAAAAGTACAAAAGTACTAGACTGATACACCTCGTGAATTTTGCCACAAGCGGCAGGGCAGAAACAAGCCAAGTTTACGCGACCTTTCCAAGGAAGATTAGGGATGAATTCATATGTATCACCGTGGCGTGTTCAATTCGGTGATTTTAACCTGATTCGACGTGTCAATGTTCATCATTATTACTAGCATATCAATTTGTTTCGGAAGATCGGAAATGATATCTCTGTTAAAGGAATACAGCCGATGACGTATAATTCGGTGGCATACATATCTCAAGAGATCCATTTAAATCGATTGCCTGACAGGGTTGGCGACAGGTATCGCTAAAGTATATTTGGCCAGCATGTCGAAGAAACAGGATATGACTTTTACCGGGCGTCAAAGAATGTAAAAGATGCGAAGCCGCGCATGCAGACTTCCGTACATGATTCTAGTCGATACAACGTGTATGGTATATTTTTATACCGGGCTAATGGCCTTTCTATATTGATATTACAGATGTCGCTTTTACAAACATCTCTTTAGTATACAGCAGCACAGCTACATTTGCGCCTTGGGTGATCTATTCCATATGGAGGAACAATATTCGATAGTGAAGGTATGGATCGCAAGAGAAATACAATCAAAATAATAGTTGCGATGATTGTAACCGAGTAATAATTTCCATAAAATTGCCGCTAGTGATAGCCACCGGGCTTAGACAAAATATAATATATAATTCGTGAGATATTTTACTCCATTGATGATACGTGGCTACTCTGGCAATTTTGCAACACCGGTACGATCTCTTCATACCCGAGAGTTCATTGAAAAGAGAAAAAGTGATCTATGGGAGGATGTTGAGAGATCTATATAAATAATTGACCATACCACGTGTGTTGGGGAGAATTAAGGTCGGCTCGACGGGGTCTCAAGATGTCAGAGCAGCAAAAGAAGAGGGAAAAATACATTGAAAGATACACAAAACCTGTCAAAACTGGAAAAGGAGGTATAAAAATATACAAAATATAAACAAATTACATAAATTACATAAAGCACCGGGTCCGAGACTCGGCCGGATTAAGCAAAGGCCCAGCCCGGCTCCCGTGACATCTACTCTAAACGGTTTCACAGGTTAGGGGAATATCGGAAAATGGACTCGTCGGAGCCGACCGTTATAGATCGTGGGGGGGGTCTCGGTTTTATTCTACTGGCTAGTCGAAGAGGCTAGGCCATTTTTGATACGCAGGCACTGTAAAGTTCCTGACATCACTGGCCAATTTCGGCTTCGTACACAGGCGTAATTGTCTGTTCCGGATCACCTTCGTACCCCTGTTTTTTTCGGGGCACATTGTGGATTTATATAAATCCCCTACGGCCAAAATCCCTCTGCTGTTTGGTATCTTCAGTTGTTGATTTATAAACCCTAGATCCCTCGCCACCCTTGACTATACCACCTCTTTCCAACTTACTACATATCCCAATCCTGTTATTGCCTTTTCAGGCCAACATATGATCCAAGATGTGTATCATGGCTTGTAACCGATCCAATGAGATCCCCAATCTCTCCATCGACCAGGGGACCTACCTCAGCCAACACCTGAGTCCCCAGTCTCGACCCGCCGACTTCTTCGACAGGCCCGACCCTCTCGCTGCCAACTGGAGCTATGACAACGCCATCGATCTGTTCTCCATCAACCCCGCCGATATGGAGCCCGTGTCATTCGACTTCGCCGACAGCCTCACCAATCTCGAGTCCAAAGATCTCTTCAACGACCCATTTGCTAGCTCTGGTATCAGTGGATTCACCATGCCCATGGCCGAAGATTCAGCTTCACTATCATCGGTATGACTCTCCACCTCTCATGTCTTGTATTAAATCTAATCTCCCCAAAGGAATTCGAAAGTGACGATCAGACATGGCCATCCGCTGCTGCACGGCAATCCATCGACTCGAACGCGTTCGAGACCCAGTCGACAATCCAACCTCCAACCTACACCTCTTCTCAACCCCAAACACAGAGTAAGACCCGCTCATCTTCAACAAGGTGGTCCTCAAGTCCAGAGATGAAGGAAGAAGAGGTCGCTACCCCCCAACCCTCCAAGTCCACCGCCTCATCCCGCAAGACCCGCAGTTTCTCCCGAGACTCAAATCACTCCTCAACGGGTGGCCAAGACCCTCAAATGCGGAATGCTGCTAAGCGCGCGGCTCACAACATCATCGAGAAGCGCTACCGCACCAACATGAACGCCAAATTTGTTTCCCTCGAGCAGGCCATCTCGCCCTCGGGTGTTCAAAAACATACCAAGATTGGCGCCGGGTCTCTCAAAAAATCCGAGATCCTCACCAATGCTCTTACCTACATCGACGGCATTCAGCAAGAAAACCAGGCCCTGCATAAGGAGCTCGCACTGCTCAAGCAGAACCTGATACCGGGCGGAATTTGGCACCATACCAAAAACCCTCGACTATGATCAGGTACATATCGATCGTACCACAGTGATGCTGCCCTTAAGCATTTTTCTTGTCTTCATGACCGCGACTAGCGTTGTATTCTTAGAGTAACCGGACAACGCGGTCCCGGTCGGCGTTCTTTATTTTTTCCCTCTGTTTTTCATTTCTCTTTTTTTCCCCGGTGGACTGGCGCAGGCGTTCGGACCAGGTGTTGTTTGGGCTCGAATGTGGCCCTCTCTCATCTCTCAAGACATGATTTGATTTTCGGGTCGTGGCGACCACAAAAGTGTTTTGTGACTTGTGATTCCCCTACATGAATGGGAATACCTCATGGATAGTATGCTAAAGCATTAATATAATTGCCAAGACTCGGATGATTCATTCTGCTCAAACATTTCCCTTTCTTTTCTTGTGTGCGTATGGCCCGACGCTTCCCAGTCTGGAAATAGTTGCCCTTTGGTGGTCCCGTCCGGTTATATATACCTGCAATGTAAGTGAGACTCCTTCGTATCTGATGTCTGTGCTGGACTGACTGGCCACTATCGGTTAGCAAGGACAATCCCCCCGAACTCCACACTGAATGCATTTCACACCATGTGGTCTTTCATATCGGCTTCGGCCTCGACCTGGCTAATGCTGAATAATAATCAACATCTTCAACTTCAGGATTCATAGTCAACGGACATGGTCAATCCCAAAAGTAAGTTGAACAGAGCCAGTATCATCTCGAGAGACGTGCTCGACTCCCAACTTCTGATCGGGGAAGCGGATAGGAGAAGCGGAATCTGGCATCGGAAATTAAGCAGGGGCGCTACGGAAGGATACAGCCCAAGGCGTTTGCCGTCGACCAAAGAGGCTAGCTGCGCCGATTACAGCAGTAAGGGGAGACTAGAATGATTCTAGAAGTCACACATCCAATCCTGTGACTCTATCGTCCAATACTCCTCGTTGCGATTAGGCTGGTGCGCCGTGCCTGAATATCGCTGCAATCCCTCGGCTCACGGCTGCCAGCAGGCTACTGTACACTTTTCATGATCTGCCTTTGAGCATACGCCATCGATAGTGAGCTTGCCGGTCTGTCACGGGAACAGCAGGGCGTAACTCATAAATTGAACTAATTTGGGGTTCATGGGGCTGTTTCACAACCGTGCGTACTATTTTCTGTTCATTATTGGCCTATATCGCCGTATCTTGGTGTTCGCGTCTCCCTCTCCTTGCTTTTGTGGAGTTCATCCGGACGAGATTTATCTTTGCAGTCTAATCGAGGGCGAAGACCCCACGGCGATGCCCGACTGAGGAGACCCCCCCCAGCCTGAGCTAAGGCTCTTGGTTCTTGTTACGAAATAATAATGGAAGAAGTGGACCTTGATGACACCGTTCCCCGGACGAAGCTCAAAACCGCCGCTTCAGTGGTGCAAAACGCATTCCCAATCCGTCGTGTTGGGCTTCCCCTTTCGATGGGGACTACTTTCACGAACCATACTTGGTCTTCCTTCCTGATTTCGGTTGCTGATCGTTTACAAATGCTTCAAGCTGTCTCGAATCCACGTTGATATCACAATGGCTTCTGGTCGCTATCGCGCATGTGTGGAATCGACTCCACATAGATACTATTTAATATCCAATATGGAATACAGATATGCAGTTCTACCGCTACTATTATGTCTGTTTACACATCGAAGCATGTCAAATTTTAGGCTTGACCCTCCCAAACCGTGCTAAAGCCCACTCCCTAAACGCTAATCGTTGATTCTTTATCGGCAACGCATGGACTTGCCGTTTTGGGTCAGCTGTCGCCACTGATTATTCTTCACTTTGATATGCCATTGACTTTTATGTCGGAAAGACTGCAAGCTTATGCTTGCTTCCTGTTGAATTGGCATATTGAATTTCAGGGGATCTCCTTGAACAGAAGTTGTTGAGCTACAACGGTCGGAGCTCGGAACTATGAAACATGCAATATATGGTTGCGATTTAGATTCAAAATATCTATATATCTACAATTATTTGATTGTAAATCCAATCCTAATTCTACCCCATTACTTATCAGTGGAGTGGAGGCATCTATGGAGGCTAAGGACGGCCCACTGGAGGGAGGTCCTCCCGAAGGCGATTCCCCGCAAAACCAAAAAAAAAGGGCAGATCGTTTCTATTATCAACATCTCCCCGGTCCATGACCAATCGTTCTGATTCACCTAGTAAGTCCAAACTATTATCAGCCCGCATCATTGGACACGCTCAATTGGTCTCCAGCTTTATCTAAACCCCTCGTATCTTACTTGATCCGTGAGGGGTTTGTCAACGCGGACCGCGCCAGATTTCATGTTAACTAGTATATAGCAATCACCACTTCTCCCCCTATTTATGTTTTTTTTTTTTTGATTTTCAGACAGAAAATGGGCGCATTTCCCCCCTGCCTGCCCACTAAGTTGATATACATCGCCTCCGGCTGAATTACCACGGCATGGATTTGGAGTACAATTCGCAACCTCTTAAGCCACCACTGACGGATCAAAATGTGCAAGATGCGCAGGATCTCGCTGCCCTGGGTCATACCCAGGCCCTGACGCGGAAATTCAATATGTGGAGTATGCTGGCGCTGGCCTTTTGTGTACTAGGTATGTTTTGCCATCCGATGCAACCCGAAAGTGTGCTGACGTGTCCAAGGTACCTACTCAACTTTCGCACAGGATCTCAGCAGTGGTCTCACCAATGGCGGTGCTATCACTATTCTCTGGGGCTTAGTGCTGGTCACAATATGCAATCTCTGTGTCGCCCTCTCACTGGGCGAGTTGACTAGCAGCATGCCTACTGCCCTCGGTCAGGCCTACTGGGTATATCGACTGTGGAATACACCTCTGGGTCGATTCGTCTCATATATGTGTGCGTGGATCAATACATTTGGATGGTGGACCTTGACTGCGTCGCAAGTTGCCTTCATGACTGAGTTTCTGCTGGGCATGAAGACCATGTTTGATCCCGAGTGGGATGGAGTCAACAAAGGTTGGCTCAACTTTGTTGTATATATCGGGGTGGTCTTCGTGCTTACCCTGGTCAACGTGGTCAGCTGCCGCAAGGACAAGATCCTACCCTGGATTAACAACTTTGTTGGAGTGTGGTTCTTCGGCTTGTTTATTGTTCTCTCTCTTGTTCTTCTTATCTCGGTTGGAACTAAGAGTGAACTGTCATTCCAGCCCGCTTCATTTGCGTTTGGTGTTTGGATGAATGAAACTGGCTGGAGCGACGGTGTAGTTTGGTTCACCGGGTTGGTACAGGCAGCGTACGGGTTGACCGCATTTGATTCGGTGATTCATATGGTGGAGGAGATTCCTGCGCCTCGGAAGAATGCTCCTCGAGTTATCTGGATGGCTGTTTTGTTCGGTGCCGTGACTGGATTCATCTTTATGGTGGTCTGTCTATTCTGCATCCAGGATGTGGACCGTGTCGTCAATGCCGACCTCCCCTTCATGGAGCTTATGGTCGAGACTGTTGGACTGAAAGGTGCCGCTGTACTGATTGCCATGTTCATTTTCAACGGTGTAGGCCAGGGCATCAGTATCCTCACCACTGCCTCCCGTTTGACCTGGGGCTTTGCCCGTGACGGTGGCGTGCCGTTCAGCAAGTACTTCAGCCATGTCGACCCTGTGTGGCAAGTCCCTGCCCGCGCTCTCTGGGGACAGGGAATCGTCATCGGCATCGTCGGTATCTTGTACCTATTCGCCAACACCGTACTTGAAGCGATTCTCAGCGTCAGCACCGTCGCCTTGACTGTCTCCTATGCCATGCCAATCCTTGCCTTGCTCATCACCGGCCGTGAGAAATTGCCCCCGGGTCCGTTCAAGCTCGGTCGCCTTGGTCCGTGGTTGAACTGGGTCAGCATCTTCTACTGTATCATCACTACCATTTTCTTCCTCTTCCCTGGCAGCCCTAACCCGGCGCCCAGCGATATGAACTTCGCCATTGCCGTCTTTGGTGTTATGTTGGTCATCGCTGTTGCATTCTGGTTCATCCAAGGCAGCCAAACATATCTCCTGACCGAAGATTCCATTGCCTCGATGGTCTATGCCCATCATCTGGAAATGAATGAGCCAGGTATCGACTACGCTGTTCCTGATGCCCCAGCCCCTGATTATAAATGATTCCATAAGCTTTCCGGGGGTCGTTTACAGAAGCCGTGCTATTTTTGGACGGTAGGACAGGCATATACATAGTATATATGTAATGCATAACCCAGTTAGATTTTATATATCTGCCCAGGTAGAACTCGTTTGACTTGCAGCTTCATAGACAGAAACTTACCGACTATTGAAGTCAGGGGCCCTAGCAGTCAAGAAATTTACTCCGTAGATATAATCCTTAAAAAGAAAGAAAAAAAAACATTGCATCGCGTGTGGACGCAAAATTTGAAAGAGGGTCACGGGATAGTACGGAAAACCGGTGGACTATCGTTGATCGTTTCGGAGCTTCCCAAAAAGTCAACATTTTATAATCGCCTGGACAACACACTGGTGGAAAGTTCGAGCTAATGGTAGCTACCATGTCGACCCCTGATATGTCTCACAGAAGCAAGTATATGGAGTATTCCGTTCCATCTTGTCACCTTGCCCAGCCCCTTTTACCCAATGAGATGACACATCAGATAATGAAGCTCTGAAGATCAAGATCACCAGCCACATCGGTCTCCATTGCCTGAATACGACTCTGGCACACCATAATTTTGTACAGATTGTTTGGCCCAGCTTCACAATGCAAACAAAATTCAGGTTGCGACAGTGCTTTGGCGCATTTCAGCGCCACAAAAGCCTAGCGCTATTCCAATATTGTCTTAATTTTTGAAGCGATAGCCCCATTGGCTGTCAGCTACTGCAACAGTGCATAGCATATGCAGGATCACCATCCCAGCTTCCCTGCTAGCTGGTGTAGCAGTGCATGATCACCGTCCTAACCTTCCTCGAGGGGCTTGGCAGGGGATGGATGATTTTGATCATGAACACATCTTCCAGCTCCTATCCGATCTGATAACTGATGAACTGTGGACTGTACTAGATCAGAACCAGAACCAGAGATCTCCTTTTAGGGTCCAGCCATCCAGCCACCGACAACACAAACAAGCCCCTGACACCCCTCACATTGTTTCCTTCAGAGTGGATCAACCCCCTGCTGATCATCAACGGATGCCCGACGGACGCACTCGATATTACAATGGGATAGAGGACTAATCTCTATACGGAGTACGTACATAGTACCGATCACATCACTAATTCACTGTTCTTCGGGCTGAAAAAGCTGTTGGTCACGACATGAGTAGCCAAATCCCGATGCAATATCCCAGCCGCCAGCCATTGATTTAGAACAGTCTCACAAAACGAGAATCCACCAGGGGTCCACTGGACTGGAACAGTGGAATTTATCGCGCCAAGGAGATGACGCGAAACCTCAATTAAAGCACTCCGTCCTTGTCAACCTTGTATTATCCTGGACTTCAACACACATTCTTTATCGCCCCATTCATTCCCCCCACCAATGCAACCATAATAAATACCAATTCACGGTCTTTACCCCTCCTTTGGTTTTGATTGTCTCCTGTTGGACTATTTATACTTCCCGTATTCGCTGTGTGGAGGCCCCGACCGGTGTCTAAGAGGGTGTCATATCGCTTGTGTTTATTATGATTGTACCTCTATTCAACCGCGGAGCTCTGTCGCTCGCGGTCTTGTCACTTCTCGCGTCATCTGCTGCAGCTAATGTATTTGAGAGTTTGTCTGCTGTTCCACAGGGTGAGTAACTCGCGTTCTAAACTAAACCGACGGAATTGATACACTGACCCGCCATAGGATGGAGATATTCTCGCACACCGCGTGCTGATCAGCCCATGAAGCTACAGATTGCTCTGGCACAGGGGGATACTGCCGGATTTGAAGCGGCTGTGATGGACATGTCGACCCCTGATCATCCTAGCTATGGGCACCACTTCAATACCCACGAGGAAATGAAGCGGATGCTGCAGCCCAGCGCGGAGTCTGCGAACTCGATCCGTGACTGGCTCGAAAGTGCGGGTATTACCAAGATCGAACAGGATGCCGATTGGATGACCTTCTACACCACCGTGGAGACGGCAAATAAGCTGCTGGCAGCCAATTTCCAGTTCTACGTCAACGGTGTCAAGCACATTGAGCGTCTTCGCACGCTCAGGTACTCCGTCCCGGAGGCTATGGAGTCACACATCAACATGATCCAGCCAACTACCCGTTTTGGCCAGCTGCGCGCCAACTCGGCCATCCTGCACACCCAGACCAAGGAAACCGACGCGGAATTCCGCTCGAAGGCCATGTCCGCTTCCCCGGACTGCAACAGCGTCATCACTCCCCAGTGTCTCAAGGATATGTACAACATCGGTGACTACCAGGCCAGCGACTCCAATGGGAACAAAGTCGGATTTGCCAGCTACCTGGAGGAGTATGCACGCTACGCTGATCTGGAACTATTTGAAAAGAATGTTGCACCCTTTGCCAAGGGCCAGAACTTCACCGTCGTCCAGTATAATGGCGGTGGTAATGATCAAGACTCGAAAGCTAGCAGCAGCGAGGCAAACCTCGACTTGCAGTACATTGTTGGAGTCAGCTCTCCTGTTCCTGTTACCGAGTTTAGCGTCGGCGGTCGTGGTAAACTTGTTCCCGACCTCGACCAGCCTGATCCCAATGATAACAACAACGAGCCGTACCTTGAATTCCTTCAGAACGTGCTCAAGATGGACCGCAAGGACCTCCCCCAGGTGATTTCCACCTCTTATGGCGAGGACGAGCAGGTATGATCTCCCCCCTGTATTCCTGATTTCTTCAGTCTCTAATATCAACCTCCAGAGTGTCCCGGAGAAGTACGCCCGCACCGTTTGCAACCTGTTCTCGCAGCTCGGCAGCCGTGGTGTGTCTGTCATCTTCTCATCTGGCGACTCCGGCGTTGGCTCCGCGTGCCAGACGAACGACGGCAGGAACGCGACCCACTTCCCACCCCAGTTCCCTGCTGCCTGCCCGTGGGTGACATCGGTCGGCGCGACAACCCACACTGCCCCTGAGAGGGCTGTGTTCTTCTCGTCCGGCGGTTTCTCCGATCTCTGGGACCGCCCGAAATGGCAAGAGGACGCTGTGTCCAAGTACCTCGACACCCTGGGTAACCGCTGGTCCGGCCTCTTCAACTCCAAGGGCCGAGCCTTCCCCGACGTCACAGCCCAAGGCCAGAATTACGCCATCTACAATAGGGGCTCGTTGACCAGCGTCGATGGCACATCCTGCTCGGCACCTGCCTTTGCTGGAATCATCGCCCTCCTCAACGACGCCCGCCACAAGGCCAAGAAAGCACCCATGGGCTTCCTCAACCCCTGGCTGTACTCGGCCGGCCGCGATGGTCTAAAGGACATTGTTGACGGCGCCAGCACGGGCTGCGATGGCCATGGCCGCTTCAGCGGCCCCGCTAATGGTGGTCCATCGATTCCAGGTGCCAGTTGGAACGCCACTAAGGGCTGGGACCCTGTTTCTGGTCTTGGATCACCCAACTTTGCCGCCATGCGCAAGCTTGCGGGCGCTTAGTAGATTGCGAGTCTTGCATGATGATGTGGTGTACTGTCTGAGTTTTAGAGTATGACTGATTCCTACCGGTTAGAAACTTCCGGTATGCGTGCATGATAATTAGATTCACATAGATTCTTCCCTATATTTGCAAATATAATAATCTTGTGGCCGATCTATATCCTTTTTTATATTATAATCATAGCTTTGTATTCGTTAGTACTCGCCTAGGCTCGAGGCGCTGCACACAGAAACCTCCGCTCCTAAGGCTCTCTGCTGCAAAGGGGATACATTTGACCCATTCCTGTCTATGTATTTTCCTCGATTCGCGAATGAATGGACATATTTGCTCCTTATTCCTGGAACACAGGCTCGGACTTCTCAATGTCGTCCTTGCTCAAACACCACTTATCTTGCAACGCAAGATCGAGACTCAAACCGTAGACATCCTTGGGCCACCATTCACCCCAGCTGGTCAAGAAAATCTGTTCCGGATCAGCGGGGAGATTTTCGACCGTGAGCGCACGGAGGATATTTTGGGCCCCTGTTGACTTTTAGATACCGTCTTCAAATCATAGATTCAGATGCAATGTCCTTACCCTCCGGCACTGTCTTAGCATCGGGCATATCCATAGATATTCCCAAGCCCGAATTTTGGCCAAGCTTGGTGTTGGGGATGAGACCTGGCGAAACAGCCACGAGTTTGCAACTCGGGAGGCTACGACGCCAGTAATGTGCACCCAAAAGCTGGGTGAATTTCGATGCACTGTACGCTACTCTTGCGCTCGCGCCGGAGTTTGCTTTTAGATCGACATCAAGAGTGCCTGAAATGAAGTCAGAATTGTGAACAACTTCGCTTTTGGCAACACGATTGGAAAGATGGAACGAAACTTACTTGGGTCGCCTCCTCTCACATTACGAATTGCCCCCGAAGATACAACGACGATACGTGATTGCGAGGCAGACAGTACCTCAGCAAATTGGTGGGTAAGATAATGCTGGGCTGAATTGGGATTCACGAGTGATTAGCTCCAGCCTCCCGGGTCTTCTTTTAGTAGCTGATGGATCGAACTTTAACGTACCCAGATGATTTACCACGTACGCTTCGCACCATTTCGAGCCATGAGGTCCCGGTCCGTCGGCGCTGGCAACGAGGCCCGCAACAAGGAAAAGATAGTTCAATGGCCTTTGACCCAATTCCGAGAGTGCTTGCTTAGCAAACGACTGCACGCTCTTGAGGTTCAAAAGATCCAGGGGCAAGATAGAGACACTGTGCTTTGAAGTGTCGAAATTCAGGTCATCGTACGCAACCTGAGCCTTCTCTGTGTCACGGGCACCCAGGATAAAGCTGTACGGCTGTGCCTGCTGGAGTAACTGCTTGATTGCTTCGAATCCCTATAAATACGTTAGCTGGAGTCTGGATATTCCAAAGGAATGCGGTTTTACCAAGCCCGACGAGGTGCCTGTAGCGATGACCGTCTTTGTAATCGAAGACATTCTGTTGGAGGGATCTGTGTCTGGTGATATTTGATATTTGATATTTGTTGGCGGGGATCAACGAAGGGGCTGAAAGCTGATGTAGTGCTACCCGATGACGTCACGTGCAGTTATCATTTCTCGTTAGAAAGGGAAAATTTAATCCATTATGCATGTCAAATCTTAGTTTACATGAAGAGAATGCCACGTAGGATACGAGGTAAGAAAACAAGAAAATATGATCGCTCATCCGCTGAAGAAAAAAATGGTCAAAACAATCGTTGAATCCTCCCCCCGAATCAATCATTAAACCATCCGTGGATCTCCAGGATTTAAGAAATTACAGCCATCAAAGCAGAGCCGAAAAGGAGCCCAACAAGTCCAAGACCAGACTTGGAGATTGGCTGGTGCGCAATGGCGGCATTTGTAGAAGACGAGGTAGTAGACGAGTGGGTGCTGGTGCCCGAGGCAGTGGACTTGGAGTCCTTGGCAGTGGCAGTGGCGGTCGCATTGAGAGCGGCGTTACAGAAGACGTTGTGGTAGTTGTTGCTCTTGCTGGTGAGGCAGGACTGGAGCTCGTTGACATCCTGGCCCTGGGCGAGACAGTAGATGCCACAGTCGTTCTCATACTTGGAGACCTTCGCATTCTTGCAGCAGTCATCCATCACATCGGTCATGTTCCCACCAAGAATGGCTGCACAGGCTGCATCTGTCGTGGGGATTTCCCAGACTCTGGCGCCGCAGGCAGTACCGGATGCGCTCGCGGACGAGGTGGTGGAGGTAGAAGACATTTTGGATTGTGGGGATTATGTGGAGTAGAGAGATGGGTTGAGATAATTTGAAATAATTTGAAGAGAAAGAAACGAAAATGATAAATAAAGAGGTCAGAAGGGAGCTATCCAAGACAGAGAGTGCCTAGCCTTGAATGTGACTGGTGTTTGTCCTTTGGCCCCTCGATTTTCTATACATAGCACAACACACTGAGCTGAAAACTTTGATTTTGGTGCTTTTGACTTGACCTTTTTTTTTACTTGTCTTACGGAAGTATTCCTTTTTAACAGGTGCATGTGATATGTGTTATGCATCTCCAAATTGCATACAGTCACGGAGTAAGGAGGGGAAAATGTCAAGTTGCAAGCATAGTACTTCGTATAGGAGCTAATATGTATGAAATTATGCCGACCTCTTGGCGATACATCCTGACAGAACTGGTCGGTCTCTTGATCAATGGGTCCTCTGTATTCAAGGTGATTTGCCTCCAATTAATTCTTCGGGTTAGGCACGACATCCACGTGTCTCGACACCGCGACCTTATTTTCATCGACCACAGCCTCAGAGTGCTTCTCATCAGCAGGCTCCGCGCCGACAAGGGCAAGCAGACCGATTTCACGTTCGATTCGTTCCTTGCGTCCAGTATCGGCAGCTGCCAACCCGACCGATCCGAACAATTCGTCCATCTCTTCTAGAGTGCGACCTTTGGTTTCGGGTACAAGGAAGATAACATAGACCACAGCGATGGTCGTGATACATCCGAAGAAGATGAATGCACCAAAGTTGCTTTTTTGGAGGAAGGGAGATGTAGCAGTACCGACTGCGAAGTTGTTCAACTGCAGAATACCCAGTTAGAGATTTTCAACCAACTTGGTCTATTTCACGACTTACCCAGTTACTGCTACCACCAATACTGACACCCTTGGCACGCATGCTGAGTGGGAATACTTCAGAGGTAACGATCCATGCAACAGGTCCTGTAGTAGAATGATGGTTAGCAGAGTCTAGCTGCCGTTAGGAAATCATACATACCCCATGAGTAGGCAAAGTTGATGATGAAAATCCAAACAAAGACAATGGCAACCCAGCCGGCGGCTGGGTGCTCTTCGAAGCTACCCTGGTACGCGCCAATGATACCCGCGACAATGAAGTGACATGATGCCATTCCAATTGCGCCAGCGATCAGGATCTTCTTTCGTCCAACCTTGTCAACCCACAGGACGGCAGGGATGGTGAAAACAAATTCGAAAATTCCAACAACACCGGTGGCGAGTAATGAGATTGTGTTGCCGCCTAGATGCATCTCCTTGAAGATGAATGGTCTGTGGAAGCGTCAGCAGATATCTTTCGCTGTGAGACTCCATTGTGGGAACTTACGCATAGTAGTTAATTGCGTTGATACCTAAGGAATAATATGAGTAGTGCATTCAATACTCGGGGTTTCGCATATCCTACCATTCCATTGTTGGAACACCATAACCATGCACTATAATATCATCAGCAATATTCATGAGAGTACCACATCTGGACATAAAACATACCGCTGTTGCCGTGCGTTTAAACAGAGACTTGTCGGTGATCAATGACATGTAATCATGTAGGCCGATCTTGAAACGACTGGAAAGCGAGTCATCCTGCCAGTCGGGATACTTCTCGGCAGCGGTCTCTCGTTCGAAGAGGTACAGACTCTTGATTTCAAGGAACTCAATGCGAACAAGCATATCATCCGGAGGTGCGTTACGCAAACGGGCCAGTGTTTGCAGGCATTCTTCCTCGCGACCGGTGTTCATAAGATGACGGGGGGACTGCGGCATGAACATCATCATGCCCACAGCCAAGATGATAGCAGGCAGGATTTGAATACAGACTGGGACCAGCCATGCAGCATCCGACTGTGTTGCCCCCGTTCCACCAATATAATTTGTTCCGTAGCCAATCTGCAAACGTCAGGGCTGAGGGATTTCACGAGAACGGACAAGACATACCCAGAAGCTGACCATGATTCCAAAGGTGATGGCGAGTTGCTGCACAGCGACGAGTGAGCCACGAATCTCCGGTGGTGCCTTCCGTCTTTGTTAGTCTTTTTCCCTTTGCGAACTCCTGAGGTCATTGCATTTACTCACCAATTCTGCATTGTACAGAGGCACAACCATACTTAGACTACCAACACCCAGACCAGTCACGAATCGACCACCGAAAACATAGTCTGGGCTCTCCGTACAAGCTTGAACAATGACACCCACGCAGAAGACCACCACGGCAACCAAAACAGTTAGACGACGACCGAGTGCATCGGCGAGATATCCGTTTGCCAATGTTCCCACCCAAGCACCAAGTTCGAGGATAGATGTGAGCATTCCCTGCTTAATTCCCGTTTCCTTGGCATAATCTTGAGTCTATGTGAAGGAAACCATTAGCAGTGCAATATGGGGGGGGGGGGGGGGGGGTGTGCAACGAGCGATAGACATACCGCTGCCTGGAACGCCGGCATTGTTAGAACTTGAGCGAACATTCCCTGATTGTCTGAATGATATCAAATTCTATTCACGAGTACATTGAAATGGTTTTGTCAACTTACATCCATACACCAGCCCTCCGAGTGATGCGAACAGTCCGATACATGTTGTCTTCTTGTTACTGAGCAGGCCCTTGAACCCATTCTTGCCTGACAGCTCAGCACGTTTGGCCGAGACGGCCGATTCTCCCGCAAGAGCGGCCACCATTGTGTATCACAAGGAACGACAAGGATATATGACAAAGGAACCCAAATTTAGATGGGAACAAAAATGAAAAGAATATGGCAAATATTGGGAGAAATGCCGGCGCGTCCTTTTACGTCTCGACCGGGGATCTGCGAGTATTTATTTGCCCGGCTACGGATAATGAGCTCACACTTGGGATTTCCCCGGGAACTTAGCCCCATGGGGGTATAGGATCAGGTTTGGAACCTGAAAACATGAGGTAATCGGTCCAATCAGCCCATGTCGGACCAAGCTTCGTGGCGGATGGTCTCCTCTTCTCCTTAAGCCGTGTGGGCAGGCCGGATGGGCCAGGAGACGGGAAAGGCTCGACTAGCGTGGTATTGGCTTGCAAGACCCTCAGTAGCAGTAACCTCCGTGCGTGATATTCGTGGGATTTAACCGGTGCTATCAGCCAAAGACCATGAAACGGCTGGATAAAATGGAATACCGTAGGCCAGATCTTGTTTTCAGACAGTTTCTGGGCAGTTTCTGAGTCGGCATCGGGTCAAATGACTCGGAGCTCCACCGAATGGAGACATTCCGGGGACCCCGCGCATTTCAAAATCTGGAGATTCACATCAACCTCAATATCCAACTCTTATTTGGCTCAAAAGTCGTATAGAATGAACTATTTCAGATTATAATGCTCTCAAGTAAAATCTCCGCAAAAAATCCCGAGGTAAAGACTGTATAATTTGAGGTGAAGTCAACGGTATTCCCCACATCCGAACTCCTGAACCGGTTGAATGGCTTTGATTTAGCCGATTTAGCCCCATCTTCATAACTGATCGCCCGTCACTGATTCCTACAGGAGTACGAATCGGCTTCGGGCGGGTGGTCGTGCTGCCGGACATTCACTACTTTGGTGGTCGAACCTCAGGATTAGCCGGAAATGGTATATATCGTTGGCACGTGGATAAAGAGGATGTTTATGTTGTGTTATCCTTTTCTCCAGTGCCCCAGAATTGATCTGAAACCCCATAGGAAATTTCTCGGCATCTTGCCGGACATTGATCGGTTGTGAACTGTGAAGCCCGGTCCTTGGCGCAATGAACACCCGAAGGCTGTATATTAAACGTTGTCTAGATGCTTGGACTGATGGCTTTTCCACAGACTCCACTTCGGTCTCGTGGCTGACATGCGCTTGTCCTCGGCCCGTCCAGTCCAGAACTCCCGATTCCCTTTGGTTCCCCGATGTAGGTTTGTGTAGGCCATTACAACGGAATAGTAGTGTCGTATGGAGTACTCCGTACAAAATCATCACGCTTTTCCTTCTCAGTGGGAGACTCCACAAACAAACTACTGGTACACCTCGGTCTTAGATGTATAGGTCCCAAACAAGTGCTGTGGCATTCACTAGCCCCATACAGACTTCAAAGATCGCAACCCGAGTCCAAGCGCCACCGTTCCGATAGAAAACATACCCGGCGAAAAGGCGACCAGGAAGCGAAGCAAGCATTATCGGAATATTGCGCTGGTAGCTCGCAATAGCGTAAATTGTCCCCGTAGAAAGAGAAGTCACACTGCGATATTTGCAATGAGCACTTGAAAAATTGAGACCAGCACCTAAACGATTTGAAACTTACCCTATACATCGGACTGTATGGGTGGGAACCCCAGCCAGAGGCGAGTCCGGGAGGTTCGATGCGGCGGAAGGATATGCCAAGGTGTAGATGGCATTAGCCAGTAGAAAGGCGCCTTGAGCGCCGAAGACGACGCCCAATACGCCAGGTGTGCGGAGACCGATGTTTTCCATTATGCTCGATATATTTTGGTTGCAAGTGAATTTTCTGAAATCAAATGATGTTGGGCGTTGCAAGTGGGGATATTTTACGTTTCGGTCTCCGGTTTCCTCCGACTTCAGCTTTGACTCAATATCTCTAGACTCGATGGTTTGTCCGTCTTCTTTTTTTTAGACCGGAAATGTTAATGCAAATTAGCCTATTGTTTGAATCTCAGTCACATGGCCATATATAGGTACCCGGATAGATTCTTACAGTCCCCCTTTGACGTGTTTCATACCTCCACTATGTAACCAATAGTATATTTTCAGATTTCTACAGTTACTACTCCCAGTGGAAGCATGGGAAGGTTCTCCTTGCTATCACATTATCTTGGTTTTCCCTTGATATTGGTAAGTCCACAGAAGCCCTCAATCCTGCAAGTACAGAAGCTAACATTGCATTAGCATTTTATCATGGTCTAGATCTGAATTCGATTATCCTCGCGGCTACTAACTGGACTGTGGGCAAGAATGTTTACGACATGCTGTACCGCAATGCTGTCGGAAATCTTATCTTGATCTGTGCTGGTGCTATTCCTGGATACTTGGTCACCATTGCCATCATTGACAAAATCGGACGGAAGCGTATTCAACTCTTGGGATTCCTCATTCTATTTGCCCTTTTTGCTATTATTGGCCTTGCTGACTTGAACAATAATGACAGCGGCCCATTCTCTCTTTACGTTTTGACCCAGTTTTGCTTCAACTTCGGCCCCGTTTTCACTTACTTTTCATTAAACTACACCTTCCATCTCATCTCCAACGTAACTCCCTGTCACATTAAACTCGTCTCTACTCGACCAGATCTTTATGTTCGGTCTCATCTAGACCTCCCAGGCTTGATATAGCCCCCTTTATAACTCCGTTTGCTACACGGTGTTCTATCTACAAATTATATTGCTCATTCTCTTTCCACGTGTCAGGCATGTTGTTGCACGGTAGCACATCTAAACGGGTCCTTGCAGGTACTCTTCCTGTGGTTGCGTTGGCTAGGGTAATATACGATTGGAACATTGTGATACAGTCCTTGAGTGGAATCCCGTTGTTCATTTGCCCCTCGGATTAGTCTATGCAGTTACATCCTCGAACCAAATAGTCTTCGTATTGTTCTTAAGATGTGAGAGGATAGTAACCGAGTAAAGCATACTATATATAAAGCAATTGAGCCTTCTAGTACTTACTGTGAAGCTCGTAGTTTATCGCCTTGCTCACAACCCATCTCAATGTTGTTTGCTTCCACGTGAAACCGTTTGCTGTTACTATGTTACTACAAACACGTCCATCCCACCTCGACAGTCCTTGTACCCTTTCAAACTCTACTCATTGATTACTCCTATCGATCAGAGACAATTTACCATGGCGCGTATGGTCACATCCCCGTGTCAAGGAGACCATGTTACCACCACAAAGCCAGAGGACGCCGTTAATCAGAAATCGGCTCGTCATACGAACTCAAATACCAACTGGGGCGCACACAAGCACCTCGCGTCTCCAGGACAATCGACCGATGTAGCAACCGAAGACGTCGAAGTCGTCTCAGCACTGAAGCTCATCGCCGTCTCAGTGGCTGAGCAGCGCCACCTTGCCGCCAAATCCCTCCTTCTCCACCCGGCCACCTTGACCCTGGCAGCTGTGAGTTACGCTTACAGCGTCGGTGCTGTTTACCATGACCCATCAGGCTGGCCCTACATTGCTGTTATCTGTGCCACTGCATTATCGGCCACTCTTGGCATCATCACACGCTTGGTCAGGAGATATAACGATGAGGCTGAGAAAGTTGGAACACTGAACTGGTTGTACGGGCACCATCCTAGCACGGATTTCGACGCTACCACGATCCAGGAAGGTGCCACCTTCAACTCAGATGATGGAGTTACGTTTGTACTTATTCATCGATTCGGGGGTTGCATTGTTGGGACGCTTGTTATAAGCATCGCATACAGCGGCATCCAACCCCGTCCGAAACTAAACGCGACGACTCTACCAACGGGTGAGAACTACGATGCCTTGATACGTGCCTGGACAGTTCAAAAAGGCTTCCGTGGCTACGGTGTTGGTGCTGTGCTCCTCAACAAGGCCGTCATGATCTGCTATGATCATAAGTGGAAAGGACTCCGGTTCGCGAATTCCCACGCCAACTCGCTTCGCGTGTTTTCCTCCATCTTTCATAGTGACATGGACCAGGAATCCGCTATGTGGAGCTCATACCTGCGCAAAAGGACCGAGGCTTATCGTCAATCCCGTGCTGTTTTCGAGGCTCGAGTCCTCCATGTATCCCCGAATGCCAGTGATAGCCAGATCTCGATGACCGATGCACAGATGCGGTTGGTTTGTACCCAGGTGAAGCTAGAGGAGTTGACCCGGAGGAGCTTCAATGTGCGCCTTGAAAAGGCACGTGAAGCCCAGGCTCGGTGGAAGGAAATCTCGTAATCGGTCAGGATTCGAGATTGTCTTGCTTTTTCTGGATATGGTGTGGGTGGAGTTCAGACATATCGATGTTCGGATTGGTCTTTTGCTATTGTTATCTATCTGCATATATATCTTTTGTATCGGATATTCGCGTAGATACTCTCACAAGTACATAAGAATTTCTATGTTCTGTTTTCTAGCCACGGATCCTTAAGAAGTTGCTTGGCCGTCTTTCTGTCTTCTGGCTTCCATTGAAGCATCCCCCTCATGAACTTTAAGAACAACTCTTTGTTTCTTCCACTCAAACGCTCCTCGAATATTTCCAACGCCAATCCCTCGGGAACATCGACTTGGTTGTTCCAGTGTCCTATCAAATATGCCTTCGCGTCAGAACAACACGGTTTGGAGTTGGTTTTACCCATCAAGCACGGCATACCATCTTTAGTAAAAAATTCGTGGCTTCGCTCTCCACGCTTGAGAATATCTAATGGAGGAGGGCCCAGTATACCAATCACCTCAGCAAGGTGCGCACGGGTGGAATAACCCTTTTCATCTGGGTCCATTCCAATGAACATGTGTTTACCTTCAAACAAATCCCATATCTAGGATTCTCATAGGTTTAGTGACGTGATAATAGACATGGTATCACAAGGGGGAACAGACCATAGTGCCAACATTCCAAATATCAATGGGGTAGCTCCACTCAATTTTTAACATGACTTCTGGCGACCTATAGATGGTGGGCTGAGCGTCATGGTTCCTCTTTTCATTACCCCGTACAGCTGAGCCGAAGTCGCTAAGAACTGCTCTACCAAAATTTTGAGGGAACTCAAATCGTCGAGAGGCATAGACTGGCATATTACCAACTGCTTTCCGTGCCGAAGGCTGCTCTATCTCGCTGTCGGTAAACCTGTCAAGTATTGACATCTCTTCAAGTTCCTGGAGGATATTATCGCCTTTGATGTCTAAAAGAATCGTCATTAGTAGCCTGGTCCGCTTAATCAAAATAAAGAAAGCTATCTGGCAATAATAAAGAATATATGCTCACCGGTGTGAACGAGATGGCACTCGCTGTGGAGATAATCAAGCGCAAGGAATATCTGTTTGAGTCTGCTCTTAAGAAAATCCTCACTGAGTCGCTGTTCCGGGGAGCGATACATTAAATGTCGAAAGCTCCCCCACATAGGTTTTTGGACAACACAGTGATTTTCGCTCCCTTGATACCCGCCCCGTTTATGGGGGATCGTGAATGCATCTAATGCAGTCCTCACATGGGCATAGCCTGGGTGTGATCCATCCCCTTGACTCAGGGCTTTATAAGTCTGAACTTCCCCTTGGTCAGTTCCATCCGATGTATAAATCTTCAATGTGACGTATCGATGGCCCCTGGTTGAATCAGCATATTTCTGCTTCAAGAAGACTCAATGATACTCAGCCTACTCGAGATCACGAGCGAGCCATACTGTGGAAGTGGTTCCGAAGCCTAGCTTGCCAACCACCTGATATTTAGATACTAAGACGTCACCAATATTGACAGGATAGTAGCACCCTTTCTTGAACTCTTCAAAGCGCTCTTCTTCGAGAATTTGTGACGGCTTGATTACTTCGAACCCGCTTTGTGGAAACCGAAGCATGGGTAAGGGACCTCTTTGTAGAGCTGTCCTGGCCCGCTTGAGGAGGGAAGTCATGGCCATAGATAGCTTGAAGAAATAGAGAGAAATCGAGGGTGAGGCGGGCTGTTGCTCCGAGGCTCCTAATTGATATGGTTGTTTTGGATTCAGGTTATTGATAAAGTGTACGATGAATGGAAGGCAGACCGGAACAGTAAACCTCTAGTTGTCTTTAGGAAAAAGACGATATATCAACGGCGAGGAAAGAAATGGTCAGATGACTATTCCTCGGGACAAACCCTAAATTTAACAGCAATAGAAGATATATTGTCGGTCACATCCTCTTTTCGCGTTCTGTCTAGTATGATTTTGATTTAAATTTCATTTTTCAATCTTGTTTCGTTCCTCTAGGTCAATATACAGCACGACCCAAGCTATAACTAATCAAAATCTCTCCTTGGAATTGACATACCAGGCATCCAGTTGGTGAACAAGGTGATATCACTACTATCTCACTATGAAGTGATACAAGAGACAGGCCAACCGCGTGCCAAGGACAAAACAATACTGGCAATTTTAGATCAACGAAAATATTGTCTCCCTGACGATATATATATATATATATATATATATGGCTTGGTGCCAGCAAATGTCATTGGCTCTAGGGATCCGGGCTTACTTATGGGCTAGCACCGGAGATGGCGCCCTATGACTTGGCTTGAACTGTCTGGACTTGTTAATGAATCACGCAAGAGAGTGATTAGATGTTTTTCTCAATACGAACCACGAGGGTCACAACATTCCTCATCCATGGAGGCGTTGACAACAATACATGTAGGTAGTTATCAAACTAGGGCCTTTTCACCTGGGCACATTTGATAAAATTATTTACACATTCCATTTATGTACATAATTGGTCAATCTTCTATATTACCTCGGCAGCGACCAAGGCAGCAAATACCTGATAGCCAAACTACTGCCCCTGCCTATTAACTGTCTATTTAATCACTGCTTTACATCCCGCGCTTCATCTTCCACCGCATGATAAAGGCGGCAAAAGGATAAACGGCCAGGGATACTGCAATCCAAATGAACAGAACTGCAAAGTCCAATCCAATGCGCGAATGGGTATCGAAAAGGATGGTTCGCATAGCTTCGACAACTGTAAAAGAGAGTTAGACCAACAGAAACAGAGCACCACGGCCACAATGAGGGTAAAACTTACTTCGATGCAACGGCCATGCATATCCCCATTTATAGAACCCCGGGGCCAGATCAATGGCGTAGAACCCTGTTGCAACATTCGTGATAACCCAAAAGATCAGGAAGAAAGAACTCCATGGGAACCCGAGGATCATAGCCATGTTCTCACAGGGGAATCCCAAAGCAGCCATGCCAACCCAGTTCAGCATCCAAAAGACGACAAATGAGCCACGACCATAGGCATTGGGGTCAGTTGAGGACAAGACATCCGACGCAGAGCCATTGTCGAATGTAATCTGGAAGGCCAGAGATACGAGTGAGTAGGACAGCGAGAGAAAGAAGTAAGCCACGATGCTTGAGAGAACTCGCCAAACAAGCCAATGTGCCAGCTTCAGCGGCGGATGGCCATCTGGCTTCATGAACAGGGTATGAACAGGCATAAGGAATGGGAAGTTGAAAAACGCAATGATGATCAGATAGATCAGACCGATTGTCACGGCAGGTGCAGCAACAGCCGGGGCAAAAGGACGTAGATCAACGGTCGTGAACCCAATTGCCGGGTTGATTGACTGCGGGGGCACGGATGATAGGTTACTGACGGATGAAGCCAGAGACCGGACCCATCGTGAGCCAAACTCTGCTAGCACCATCTGTTGTAGGATGGCCAGGTTGGGTAGGATATAGTTGTAGTAGGTTGCTTGATCGCGCGCGGAGATGATGACGGTCTCGATGGCACCGGTCGGGTCGTAGGTTGTATTGTCATTGGAGACTGCATCCCGGAGCAGCATTGTTGCATTTGGGTTGATTATCACAGCGGCATAAGCATGCTGGTCGTAGACGCCCTGGCGCACGGCCCAAGGGTCATAGTTGAAGTCGGCGGGGGATTTGATAGTGTAGCCGAGGTGAAGGCCGTCAGAATCCAAGATTCTGTTGGTGACATCGGTAACCACTGGACCGACAATGGTTTGGTTGGAGCGGTATGGATCAACTTGGCCGTCAAAATCGACAATCCACACATTCAACGTTGGAAAGTTAGCCTCAGTGCGGTATTGGGATCCCCAGAAGAGAGATAGTACACCGAATATGAAGGCGCACAAGATTAACACTAACGATCTCTGTTAGTTTCCCTTGCATTGTCCTAGTTCCCATTGGACGTTTTCCTACAAGTGCGACCCCATTGGCAGAATACCCGCTGTCGAACCTCCTTGAGAGCTGGATCAAAAAATGATACAGCAGCCGGCGGGCTGGTGTCACCGTTCAGTGACTCGGTCTTTACTGTCATAACTGAACAGTTGGCAGGTAATATCCGACCACGGAAAACTGCGATTAGGCCACATAAGTAGTTTAACAACCAGATGCGACAAGAATGTACACCCGCTTCCGTCGTCATAGATTTCCTCGGGGTTTATCCATTTTGGGAAATTCTCTACCTTAACTCCGAACAAGACAACAAGATCTGATAACTTCTAGCGAATGAGTAATAGAAGTCTGCAGGGTTTTGTCTACCAAGAGGATAAACTTATAACCGCGCTCTAAGTACGAGAAGAGTGGTGCAGGAATATGTACATCCGTAAACGCGGTATATTATCCTGGGCGTTAATCATTGAGTTGGAACAGTGAAGACTGTTGTGCATTGTACTATATGAGAATTTTGCCCCATTGGGTAGCTCCTCCATGGTTTAACTATTGTATTGCCCCTGCGCATCGCGCGGAAAATAATCCCTGGTGTATCAGGTCACCCGCCATTGCGCGTCCCCGTTTCATCCAGCTGATCCCAGTCAGCTCGCAGGGCCACGCATGAATGTTCGCCGCTGTGAAGGGAGCGAGATACTGAGTAGATTTTGTGACAGCTCATATTCCTCTATCTTCAGAATATCCATGTCGCATAGGTCATCAACAAAACCCGACCGATACCAGAACACATAAAACAGCGATTACCGTGGATTGAACCCCTGTAGACGAGTTTTAAGTAGAAAAAAAAAATGAGTGCTGGGTTGCGAAAAATTGACGATCGTAATCTCATTTCATTGAATCTAAGGGTATCATTAAAATTTCTATATACATTCTTATCCACCAAGGAATCCTAATCAATCTCCCAGCGGACTTGAAAACAAGTTGCGCATAGGATCTAGGGGCCCGCCCCGAGACCCTTGACTGTATCAAACAGTCACATTCGAAAAGAGGTTCGGAGATGTTCAGGCACAGGTGACCTGGTATGAGCCGTAGCGGCGTCGTGTTCCAGCCATGCGGCAAGTTTGAGTGGCATTGGCTTGGCTGGTGACGTCGGAGAATTCGTTCTGGTCGCACATGGTGTTATCGAACAACTCGATGCGGCAGCCTTCAGCGACAGTGTTCAGGGTGTAGGCAGAGGCAACGCTGGGGAGATTGGCGCGACAACCTGTGCTGCCAGATCCGACGTGAGGGTCACCGATAGTGCCGTTGCATGAGGGTGACGGGAAAAGTGTGAAGGACCATTGAATGTCGCGACCGACGAGGGGGACTGCGGAGGAGAAGTTGAAGAATGCAGTCACGGCCAGGAGGCAGAGGCGAAGAGTAGAGACCATAGTGCCTTGAGAATGGAGAGGGTGTATGTTGAGAAGGTTGGAGGATTGCGAAAGCGCAAATAGGAGAGAGGGCTGGTTCTTAAGGGTCTAGAAAGTAGAACTGACAGGGGGAGAGTCCACAATTTATTATGGATATGGGACCCGCCTCCAAGATTAGAAGTTCCTAAAGAATATATTGTATGCCAAGCATTACGCGTTCCGTCCACGTTCACACACTTCGGGTTCAAGCATGCATGCATACGGAGTACGGACTCGGACTAAGATCTATCAAGAATCCATCCGTCTCCGTACAATGACAATGTGGAAGCCCCTAACAACGGGGTTTCATTCCTGATGATATCATCCCGGGTAGATGATCATTTAGTCCATTTTGGGTAAGTGGGGGCTGGGATATCCGTCTTACGCAGATGCATACGTACCCTCCCTGAAGGATATGTACAAATCGTAGTTCCTCTGTTCGTGATATCTCTTCCATTTTTGTCGAACTCCAACTTGATATAAACCTGGTGGCTGAATTTCTAAAAATTAAGTGGCACAGGCGGCAAATGTGGCAATGAGGACGTCTAGCCCTGAAGGCTAAACAATATTTTTTCTCCGATCGGCAGACATATCCATGGTTTTGCGCTTTAATCTTAAATTCAACCATGGAAATCTCAGAGATTTTCTTCTAACATTGGTTAGGTCGGACTTACCTAATAATCCAGTTGGTTTCCAAGTTTTTGTGTTGCCTATGATACTGAATATTTTCTATGTAGGGATTGAACTTGCTCTAATTCTTTACCGAAAGGAATACTGCTAGACTTGTTGAAAGGGTTCAAAATTGCCGATTCTCACGGAATTGATGGATCACTTGGCCAGGATTTCTTCCACAATCAACGCGTGCTGTATCAACACCTCATCCTTTTGTCTACGGCCGATAAGCTGCACGTGGCAGGGCGCGTTCTCGACTTCTTTCGGGAGGTCTGAGTTCGGTCAGCATATATTATTGCGATATATTCGAGATTTCTTACAAGGCGGATTATATTCCACGGTGCGCACGAACTCAGCGTCGGCGGCCATTTGAGACGAGCCATAAGGAATGACGCATGCGGGATACTAGTCTTGGAGTTAATATAAATGTCGACAAATGACACAAAGGAAACATACATCGACCAGGTTAGCAATGACTGTGTACACTGGAACCCCGTAGGTGTCATGAGGCACTGCCGTGCTCTGGTACCCCGGTCCGATGATCACGTCTAGACGATTATCGAGGAACACGCGGCGCATTTTAGCCATGATTTCTGCTCGGGAGGTGTTCAATGCAAACAACCCCCGCAATGTCGGCTCCTCTCCCTTTCCATCGAGGTCGTATGTAAATCGAAGAGACGGGATCGCCGGCTCGCCAGACTTACGAATATGCTGCAACGCTGTCTGGTCCGGGTCGATACGAAAGAAGTGGAATGCCAAATCTGACGCAGCTCCCAAGAAGTCAATCTGACTAGATAGATCCACGATACGATGGCCCGCATTTCCTAGCTTCTTGATTGCACTTCTGAGAGTGCGCTGCATGTTGGGGTGCAATGGTGATTGAGGATCTTCTGGCAAGACGCCGATTGTGAGCTGGGTGGGTGGTCTCACAGGCTGGATCCAGGGAAATGCTAGAGCCGTGTCGTCCATATCATCGGATGATGCATCGAAAACCACTCGAAGGAGCATCTCTGCGTCGCGGACTGAGTGGCACAGTGGTCCTGCGCTTGCAGCAATCCCAGTCATCCCGGGTCTTCCAGGACTCGTTTGCCCGGCATACGGAACACGGCCGACGCTAGGCTTGAAGCCGACGGTACCACAACACAGTGCTGGGATGCGAATCGATCCAGCAATATCAGTGCCAACTCCTAGGATAGATCCACGCATAGCCAACAAAGCTCCCTCGCCTCCGCTGCTGCCACCGGCTGTGAGTGTATCTCGGTATGGGTTCAGCACCCGACCAAAGACATTATTGTGCGAGTCCGCTGTCATCATTGTCTGGGGCACGTTGGTCTTCACGTACAGCACCGCCCCTGCTTCCAGAAGAATGTCTACCAGGACAGAGTTCTGGGTTACCGGCTCGCGATCCAAGAAAGAAACGAACCCGAGCGAAGTCGGTACACCCTGGATGCTGAATGTCTCCTTCAGACTAATAGGAATGCCATGAAGGGGTCCAACGAGCTTTCCAGTAGTCTTGATATGCGCATCCAGCTCTTCAGCTCTGATAAGAGCTTCTGTGAACATAGTCTCCGTCAAGCAGCAAGTCAACTGCTGCGCAATGGCGGCACGCTTGCAGAAGGCAGTGGTCACCTCGATGGCACTGAGCTCTTGCGCAGCGAGCTTGTCTCGTAACGATGTTGCGTCAGAAATCCCAGTAATTGCAAGCTCTTCCTTACTAAGGAGGCCGCACTTCGAGGGAACGTCGATGATTTCCAGCTCATTGTTAGCGACTTGCTGGAGAATTTCTGCTGGCAGACGCCATCCAGTGGGGATTTTGGCGTCTACCTCTGCCCGTTTGGCGGCACACTTGTCTTCCCAGCTTAGATTAGTCATCTTGCTGGATTTCAAAGATGACTTGTTTAGGGTACACAAGTAGATAAAGATAAGATATGGAGAGAGACGGGATGTAGAAGAGATTTGAGAATTGGAAGAGAAATGGGAGATGGAAGACCTCGGGAAAGATGAAATGCGGGGAGAGATCAGATGCGGAGAGAGATGAAATGGATGTGAGGGAATGAAGTGCGAGATTGGTGGGGCAAACACACAAACATACAAGCTGGTAAGTCGGGAATCGAATACCCAATTCGAGAGAATGGACGTCCATCGTATTCCAGTAGGGAGGGCAAAGGGGTAGGCCAATCAAGTATATTTGCGCCGAAAAAGTCCGTATGTAGGATTCCCCGGTACTCGCACACGGCAGTTGCATCTAGCCTTGAACTATAGTTATATTGTATCTGTACCTTTACTGAAATCACATAAAAGAGACACTAAACAGAATCATTCATGAATTATATACAACAATCTACATACTACCTCTAGTCGTCACCTCCACATTCTTCACCAACCATGCGCGTTCATCACACCCAGCCAGCAGTAACTGCTATCAAGTGTGGAGCTTTGCCCATATTTGCTATTTCAATCCTCATATCCATAACCTTAGACGTCGACAATAGAGAAAGCAAGACGGTCAATATGTCATTACAATGTTCTACAACATTGAACAATGACAGAAATCCGATAGTATCTAAAACGGACGAATTCGGTATGATAAAACAGGATAAACGCGCGAATATAGACAAAATCACTAGTACTGCTTTGGTGGGTTATCTGGACCCGATGTCGATGGGTAAACTACATATCCGATCGGGTATTTGGAAGTTATTTGACATTGATTGTAGCGCAGTTCATGTTGACCCAATGGGAAGTGAGGGATCGGATCCACTTTCACGTGTAGATATATCCTTATCAATGTTCATTTTCAGTCAGTATGGTCCTCCAAGGAAAACTCCCATTAGAAATGGACAATCGAGTGGCAGAGAATGTTCTCGGTACTCTGGGTGCAGTGAGTTCCATTCTTCCGATAGTCTCCCGATAGACCGAACTAATTGTGCTTTCCAGGTTTGCTGGTCTATCCAAGTATGTGGTTGATGTGTGCCAAATAGCTTTGAGCCCACGCTAATACATTTGTACAGCTGCTTCCTCAAATAATTATCAATTACAGGAGACATGACACTGAGGGGCTACAAGGGTCAATGATGCTCTTATGGGCCGTCGCGGGGGTTCCCCTAGGGGTGTACAATATTGTAGAAGAATTTAATATCGCCCTAAGGATTCAGCCCCAAATCCTGACAATACTCAGCCTCCTTACCTGGGCACAGTGTCTCTACTATGGAAAGGTAAATATTCTTCTTTTCATCCAACGTGATCTTCGTAATACTCACTCGGACCCAGAAATACCAAATCATGAAATGCTGTGTCGCAATCACTTCACTTCTGCTGCTGTTGGGTGGCATTGAAGCTGGACTCATATTTGCCCTGCAGGCTGCAAAAAGGCGTGGACTGGAATGGCCTCTTATCTTGATGGCAGTTTTAAGTGCATGTTTACTTGCAGCAGGCGTACTAAGACATTACTGGGATATTTATGTACACCGGACTGTTCGAGGAATCAGCTTCATTTTTGTCGGAATTGACGCTGCTGGGGACTTGTTTTCGCTCGTCTCTGTTCGTAAGTCAACTCTATCGTCAAATAGAGCTGGTCAATGGCTAATATGCAAGCAGTTTTTGGATCGACTATTAATGTCCTTGGGATAATTATCTATGGAACTGAATTGACACTTTGGGTGGGCATATTCATCTGCGGCGGTGTGTTTAACCTCTGGCCCTGGATCAAAAAGCGCTCCGAGCAGCGAGATGGCAATCTCCAGGATCCGGTGTCTCTACATCCAATGCCATCGTCGACTTCTGTGTTCAGGACCGCGTCCGGATCTCAAGTGGTGGAAAGGAGGCCATGGCAGGGTTCATAGAGATTAATGATTCATCATCTAAATAATTAGACACCAAACAGTCGTTTCTCTTATAGTTGCTGTCGTGATAGCCACCTTCGTCTGATGTGGTCCCGAGAAGTTTTAACGTCTACAAACTGGCGTAGTAAGAATTAGATGAGGTGGAATTACACATGGTGGGCTGGATAGAGGTGAATGGAACTGAAAATTATGGAGACTGCCTGGAGCGGCTGTCAGATTCAGATTTAACTTTATCTCAGAAAGCTCCGCCGCATCCCGGGCCCGCTTACATTCTCGAGATATATCCATGAATGTTCCATCTTTGATAAATCTGAGCAAATACCTACTTGGGTTGATTGTTATATCGAGATCTCTTCATGTCTTGTGTAGCTGTGCCAAGAATGCTCAGGATCACAATTCAGACCTGTCACAGTATCTTATTTCTTGCTGTCCCCTATATCTGTGTGCACATTCTAGAAGGATAGACGGTAGTGGGCATTGCCTACAATTTTGCCTTGCTTGCCTTCGGACGTTTCCCAGTATCAACATCAGACCACCAAGGAAAGTCGGGTGGTGCATCGCTCTCAAGAGTTGCATTGAAATTCGGCTTGCGTTTCTCGAAGAATGCTTTGATCCCTTCCTTTGAGTCCCTATACTATAGTCAGCATAGCTTCTCGGCATATGAAATTTTACAAGTAGACATGATGAAACAAGGCGGATACAGCTTACCTCCCACTAAACATATGGTACAACACCGCCGAATCAACCAAGTGAGTCTCCTCAGCACTCCCTGGATTCCGCCACATGAGTTCTCGTGAAAGATATGATGCCATAGGGCTAACATTCTCCGCAACCTCCGACGCAAGCTCTAACGCACGCGCAACTACCTGGTTTGAATCAGGATATGTCTCCTGGAACAATGTCCCAAAGTGTGGGGACGTAGGCGAGAATATGCTGCCAGTTGTGATCAAATAAAGAGCGTTTGAGTACCCAATCAAGCGAGGGAGAAAGAATGAAGAACTGGATTCCATCGTCAGACCCCGTCGTGGGAAGACAAATCCGTACTTGGATTTCTGGCAGCCAATGCGTATGGCGGCCGGCAGACACATTGTCATACCCAAACCGACAGCGGAGCCCTGCATAGCCGCTATAGTAGGCTTGCGGCAGCGGTGGATGGCTAGGGCGAGACGGCCGCCGCTATTGATATTCATATTAGCGGACGGGATACGTGAGCTACATGCCGGGGCTTCGTCATCTTACCTATCACGGTGATCCTTGTTTCTCTCCTTCTCCATTCCACTAAATCCTCGCTCAAGATCGGCACCAGCACAGAACATCTTGCCAGCACCGGTAAGCACCACAACTTTGACTCGTTCGTCAACGTCAAACATAGGGTATATCTTCTCAAACACATGCATCATCTCTAGAGTGAATGAATTGTGCTTTTCCGGTCGGTTCAGCGTCACCACAATAATGGGGGTAGCTTCAGGAGCCCCGGCCGGGTGGTGAGAGACTTTGACATCGGTCAATAGAAGAGCCTCATAAGACTTGGGAATATCGATAGTGTCTGAGTTGAAAATCATGGTGGTAACTAGAGATGAACTAGACTGTTGTTTACCTCGCCATTTGATGAGATATGTTGGTAACTTATATATCATTTCACGCCTCGGTTTTCAAGCAGACGTGATCACTCATCATAAAGTTCAGAGAAATCAGGCCGCGGTTGACATATTCGTTGCGTTGGGTTAAGATTACATTATCTCGGAACATATCGAAAGCTAGGAGTTACATGTGTCCTCGAGGGTTAAATCTTTGATCACTTGACTCATTCTCAATGTACATACAGACCGAAATAATATCACCACAATCGGGGATTTTTTGAACTCCAACATATGTTTGTGGTTCTTTGTTCACCACTAAAGAATATTCCAACCATCTAAGGGTGGATTAGATCTCCCATCGATCTTCGCACTCGCGCCTTTTTCCAGAATATACCTGTTTTCAACCCGCGGGTGTGGAGTTCCGGACGTGGATTCATGAGGGGAGAAAATGATACGTTTCCTATCGGAATGGACTCTGGCTAATTCCATATATCTCATCCAATTCATCGCCTCATATGTCTAGCAAACGCCACAGCCATATATTCCGTTGCATGATCCGGTGGGAAAATAGCTGATAGATAAGCACTCCAGCCAGGAATATCGTTGCAAAATGTATACGCTCTAACAGTTTCGTACCATTCAGGGTGCCACCCTGCAAGCTCCCAATCCAATACTGCAGTGACATGACCATGGTTATCTACCAGGATGTTTCTTGGTGCCAGATCACCATGCGAGAAGACCATATTACCCCCCGGTCGTTTATTGGGCGTATAATTCCACACAAGATCCGGGACTGAGGTCGTCAATCTCGAAAATAGGTACTCATCCTGGTAGATTGGGCGCCGTGTATATATATGTTTATGACTGAAAGGCCCCAGATGTTCGTGCTTTAGTCCTCGTAGTTGCTGTATGAATCCATGCAGGTCCTGTGCAACGGACATCTTTTGTCGAGGGATCATGCTGGACCAGGCATCTTGCAGCGTCCGACCTTCGATATAGTCCATTAAGATAGACTTAACACCACCATCATGGATTTGGGTCTCGTGAACGTGCGGAATCGGGATGGTCGTGTTTTTGGCGACGTAGCGCATATTCTCGGCTTCAAGCTCTATATCTTGGGAGGATCCATATTTAAGCAATCTGTCTTTGGGGACTCGAATTATCTTCCGGAGACTGGGTTCATGTAGCTCTAAATGCCTCCACTGATTAACATGATGGAATCATCTGGTATCACTATTACACATACTGACCCTGGCCAGAGAGATCCATCACGTCCACGAAGACCGCCTGTTTTCCCTCGATGGGAACATGAGCCTAGAAACAGATTATCAGAAAGCGAGGCACCCGGTATTTAATCCGTGACCAATCACGTGGCTGGGAGTGGGCAGATATGCAGTTGGCTGAATATAGTAGTGACCTTGGAAGTTGGACATAGTCTGGAATCTCAAAGCCAACGGTTCCGGTGGGGAGTGCATAATTGAGGAATTATATAGAGCAAGACAAGGATTACGAATGATTCACAATATAATGTGTTTGGATAAGAGCACCATATATTTTTCTACTCTATGTGGCGTGAATAGTCATGATCAGGAAAGCCTAGGTACATAGGCTACCCCTCATCTACCTAGTAGACAAGTATATTTAAACGAAGACCTTGGCCTGGCCGGCCTTCAGCTTGCCAGCGTCGACAAGGCGCTTAGCCTCGCCAGACCAAGCAGTCTTGACGGCAGCGCCATCGGTACCGGCGAGGGTGAGCTTCTCAGCCAGAGCAGCGAGCTCATCAACATCGATGTTGGCCATGATGAGATCGACATCGCTGAGGACACCATCGACCTCGGCAGCAGTGGGCTCACCGGCAGAGAAGTAGTTGACATCCTTGACGGAGCCCTTGAGGATACGCTTGTTCTTCTTCGAAGCGTTCTTAGCGGCCTCCTTGGCCTTCTTGGTCTTCTCACGATCAGCCTTGGCGGCCTCCTCGGCGGCTTTCTTGCGCTGCTCCTCGGCAGCCTTGGCGTTCTCCTTCTCCTCCTTGAGACGGCGCATCTCCTCCTCCTTGGCGAGGCGCTTGGCGTCCTTGCCGGCACGAGCCTGCTGGCGGAACTTCTTAATACGCTCATCGGAAGCGAGACACTCGTCAACGAGCTCACGCAGACGGACGGTGTCCTCAGTCTTGCGCTTGCGGCGGGCGTTGGCGTTCTTCTTCTCGACATGACGCTTCTGGTCACGGCTCTCTCCATCATCAGGCACATCCTCATCGAGGTACTCGAAAGTCCTCCAGCTGTCAACGTTGTACCAGAAGTTGTAGAAAGTCTCGACGTGCTCCTGGGTGCTGTTCTCGTCTCCGAGTGTGGGCACAGGCTGCTTGTTGGAGAAGCGACCCTCGGCAACAAAGACGGGGCCCCAAGCCTTGTAGAACTTGCTACCAGTGAGCTTCTTAGTGGGAGGCTCAACATCGGCGTTCTCATCGACGGAATCGAACTGGCGACGGCGAGTGGGGTCCAGAAGCAGATCGGTGGCCTTCTGGATACACTTGAAGAAGCTGTCATTCTCGTCGCTGTTGCCCTGGGCGGCCTTCTTGTCAGGGTGGTGACGCAGAACCTTCTTGCGGTGAGCCCGCTTGATCTGCTCGGGGGTTGCGCGCCAGCGGTACTTCTTCAAGCCCAAAACGGCGTAGTGATCCTGACCCTGCTAGGAGTTAGAAACATATCAACTAAAATAAATGTCGCATTGCTGACCTTCCAGTCCTTGGCCTCACGGGCAAGCATCATAGGGTCCTCATCCTCAGAGATATCATCATCCTCCTCAGTCTCAATCTTCTTGACGTTGTTCTGGGCCTGGAGGCGCTCATCCTCGGAGAAAGTACGGTTGTGGCGAGACTAAAAGGTGGTTAACTTTGGAGATCGCAATAAAAAAATGAGTCCATTTGTAGAACTTACTCGGCGAGCGTGAGCCAGGAAGTGCGGGCCAACAGGCTCCACGTTGCGCTTGGTGGCACCAGACAGAGCGCCGACAATCTTGAAATCCTTCTCACCAGCCCAGCCCTGAGGCAAGGCAGGGAGGGAAATGTTAACAACTTGAGCAGCAGCCATTGTATAATGGTATTGGTGATGGTACCAAGTTGTGTGTGAAGAGCGTCGGGTCCCGCGATGGAATTTTTTGCATACATTTTTTTCTGCCCCAAATATCCGCCCCTCCAGCCAATCACGGGTCATATGTTTTGGGGGTTCGAGATTGGGATGGCACCAGGCCTTCGTCCTTCTGTTGACTTGTACATTCAAATTTTCTGGTTTGATCGATCTGCATTCTTGTTCAGACAATTGTAACTCCTACTTCACATCTACAGTACCATCCATAACTCCATCCCATCTCCTTATCCGTGCCGATCATCCGCAGCGACAATTTGCAACCTGTGCTTCTCGGCTTGTTCCTAAATTCACTCACGTCTATACTTCTCTGTGACATTCTGCTTTTCATTATGGCCACTTCCACTGCCGCTGCCGCTAAAAGCGCCTATCGCCAACTTCTCCGGTCAACCCGGGTTGTCTTTCACAGTTCGTTTGACAAACACAACCGCCACCGAGGCCTCTGTTTTCCTAATACTGACGTTCGCTATAGACGATCTCCCAGTCCTCATCGCCGCGCGCCAGGAAGCGCGCCAGAGCTTCGAGAAGAACCGTCGCCCAGCTGTCGACACTGGAATGCAAATCAACCATGCGATTGAGGTTGCGAATATCCTGCGCCATAACATCGTCCAAGGCTCGAGGGAGCAGGGAGATGAAACTGCCAAGTGGGGTATGTGCTTTGTTAATCTTGCGATTCCATGGCTTGGTACTTATAGTGCTCATACAAAATGTGTACTAACGAGCGATTGTTTCTACAGAACTCAATATCCACGATCAGATCGAACGCGGCGATAATGACTCCATTAAAGTCGGCGAACGGGATGTGAAGATTCACAAGGCTTGCTCGTCATGATGGTTTTTCCCTCCCCTATGCTCAGTTGAATCTGAGCGCACTCTCCGGGTCCATTCAAGGTCCAAAAACGACGCTGAAAAGTCGAAGCCAGCCTGCGGGCCTATGTCAAACCAACGGCATATGGCGCATTAAAATAAGCTACGATAGTGACCGGACATGTATTATAAGATACCCGACTCTTTTATTCATTGGCGTCTTAGGGGTATTTTCGATTGAAGTACATAGATCTGCATAGAATAACCCAATCCTTGATAACGCCCGTTCCGAATCCTAAATTACATGCAACCTTGATTTGATTTAATGGTATCTCTGCGCAAGTTTTATTCAATCGCCATTCATACTGGCGTACTGGACCTCGCCCGATCCGGGCGGCGGTGCGACAACATGAGGCTGAGCTTTCTCCTGGCCAGCACCCTCGCCTGCAGAGGTAATGGCTTGTCGGTCGGCTTGCTTTCCTTTGCCAACCGACCCCACAGTCTGGCGACCCTCACGGGCATTTTGCATTCTCTCTTCACGGTCCAGGTTATCCAGTGGCTTCGGCTTTCCCCAGCGAACACGCAGAGGGCAGCCCTTAATGATGGCCTTGCCCTGGCAGTGGTTTGCGGCGGTTTCGGCGTCTGCGCGGTTGACGTAGTTGATGAAAGCACAGTGGGAGCGGTGGGAGCAAATAAGCGACCGGAGCTGACCGAATTCGCTGAAGAATGTCCGGAGCGCATGTTCAGGGAGATCGTCTTCCACGCCTGTAATAAACAAGGAGGTGATATTGGGATCCGCAGGGGGAAGGATATCTGCAGCCGAGGGCGGCAACTGGGTGGTACTGGGGAACGGACGACCACCACGGCCACCACCTCGTCCACCACGGCCTGGAAGGCGGTTTCCGATGCGGCTTTCACTGGTGCGAACTGGACCGGGCCCATTTCCATAGCGGCTGTTTGTTCGTGGTTGATCCGTCGCTGTACCTTCCTCTACTTTATCATCCTCGGCAGCTGTTTCGATTCGTCGGGGCTTGCGGTAATATGGTTCGCTGTTTGCAAGGCGGCGCAAAAGCTCGCGAGCCTTGTCATCTGTCTTTTCGTATTCTTCAATAGCACCACGTCCCTCTTCGATTTCCTTCTCGTTGTTCTGCGCGTAATACTCGCGATTGATGGAGCTTTCAGGTCCTGGTGCGACCATTTTGAGAGCGGCATCACGGACGGCAAGGGGAAGACCGAACGACAAATCTAGCATGCAGCATTGACAGCAGTTCTTTAGACGCGCGCATGTGAGGCAAATGATGGATCGCTTTTGGCGGGAGGTCCGATCGGCCTTCCAACGGAAGATAGTAAAAGGGCGCGTGCACTAAGTAGTTAGTATGTGGGTACGAAGAAGCTTGGAGAGAGCAAAAAAAGACTTACAATCTTGCATTCTGCGCCATGATCTTCCTTAATCATTTGAACGTAAGGATTTTCGGGAAGACAATTCTCACAGACGGAGGGAAAGTCTGTCGACTCCCAGCCAGATCGGTTCAAATCATGCTTAATTTGGGGAGGCATGTCGGACAGTATGGGGTTAATCCGAGAGGTGAGAGAGCTTCCAGAGACGGATTATCAAGACAGAAGTGGCGTGTGGCTGTTGCAGCACGTGACTCAATGCCTCAGGTCACCTTTTTCCCTACCGGGCCGAGCGTCCGACTCAGCCACAGCTCGGAACTTTGAAGTCCCGTGAGGGCAAAGAGTGTGGCCACTCACTCCCCAAATAATAATATAGCGCCCCAGGCACACTAAGGCCGGTCTAGTTGTTCGGAAGAACCCCCTGATTGGCTCTCCACTTCAGATTGTCAAAAAGTTGCTTGGGATTCGACTCTTATTTATTTCCCCTTTCTCCTATTCCTTCAGTAATCCATTCACTTTGCTCTTGCTTCGCTTCTCTGGTATCTACAGTCTTGGTTTACCTTGTCGTTTTCTCTTGGAAAATCTTGGAAATTGACGCTTTTTTACCTCCTTTTAACATCTACCCCTTTTAATCTTTGCGACTTTCTTCACCATGGATCCCTCTACATTGGAACGTGAGGACAAGGCGCGTGATGCTGCCTTCAACAAGGTTCTGCACGGCAAGTCTGCCAAGGCCCAGGGTGGTCTCTCTGCCATGCGCGGAAAGGACGCTGCTGCCCAGAAGGCCGCCGTCGACGAGTACTTCAAGCACTGGGACAACCAAAATGCCGCTGATGAGACACCCGAGATCCGTGAGGTATGGCAGTGTATATCCAAGACAATTGGTTCTTATTGCTAACAGTTTGTGCGTGATAGGCCCGCAAGGCTGAATATGCCACCTTGACCCGACAGTACGTTCGGAAATAAATCCCATTGATCGACGCTCCTCATACTGATGATTCTTTTACAGCTACTACAACTTGGCCACCGACTTCTACGAGTACGGATGGGGCTCTTCCTTCCACTTCTGCCGTTTCGCGTACGGTGAGCCTTTCCACCAGGCCATTGCCCGCCACGAGCACTACCTTGCGCTCCAGGCTGGTATCACTGAAGATATGAAGGTTCTGGATGTTGGCTGTGGTGTCGGTGGTCCTGCCCGCGAGATGGTCAAGTTCACCGGTGCTCACGTCACCGGTCTGAACAACAACGACTACCAGATCGACCGCGCCACCCACTACGCGCACAAGCAGGGTCTCTCGGATAAGATGGCCTTCGTTAAGGGCGATTTCATGCAGATGAACTTCCCCGATAACAGCTTCGATGCCGTGTACGCCATTGAAGCCACCGTTCATGCCCCCGAGCTTGTCGGTGTTTACAGCGAGATCTTCCGTGTCCTGAAGCCCGGTGGTACCTTCGCTGTGTACGAGTGGCTCATGACTGACGACTACAACAACGACGACCCTGAGCACCGTCGTATCCGCCTCGGTATCGAGCAGGGTGATGGTATCTCCAACATGGTCCGTATCTCCGAAGGTCTCGAAGCCATGAAGAACGCTGGCTTTAATCTGAAGCATCACGAGGATCTCGCTGCTCGCCCCGACCCCATTCCCTGGTACTACCCGCTGGCGGGCTCCTTCAAGCACATGGGTTCGGCCTGGGATTTCTTCACCATCGCTCGCATGACCTGGTGGGGCCGTGGCATTGCCCATCGCTTCGTCGGTGCCGGCGAGTCCATCGGTCTGTTCCCCAAGGGTTCCCAGAAGACCGCCGACAGCCTGGCCTTGGCTGGTGATTGCCTGGTCGAAGGTGCTCAGAAGAACCTTTTCACTCCCATGTACCTTATGGTCGGCAAGAAGCCTGAGTAAATCTCGAGCAACAACGATGTTAGCGGTCTTTCTGTGTAAAAAATATTACCCCGGCGTGCACGTTCTTCCCTGGTGCCCCTCTTATTTCATTTGATCTTCTTCCTTCATGTTACCCTCCGCATGTCACCACGGGATTTTTCTTGACTCAAACCTGACTCGATGTCGGTAGAGAAAGCGAGCCGCGTGCCGCTTTCTCTCAATCGACGGTCTCATTAATTTTTTTTCCCTTCTCTTGTTTCTTTTACCTGTCAAGATAGCAATGTAATAGTCACTGAGTCAAGAATAACGAGCAAAGAATTGGTATTGTTTTATGTTAATTTTGTCTCCATGTATTCGCAGAGCACATTCTGTCAAAACTAGATATGGTACATGTATTTGGATGACCCATTTGGATTCCTGGTCAATCGGCTGCCGGACGGTGGAAGAGATAGCTATGGACTTCCTGTGATCCGCAAAACAAACTATTTGATCCATCCTCGTCATATTACAAGTATCCTGAAACCGGAGGAACAACCTTGGGTGTGCGTCCATCCGTGTAAACATTAGTATCATACAGCTCCCTGGCACCATACGCACATAGCAACTCTACCATGGCTGCACCACTTGGAGAGGGACAATAGGAAGCCCACCACAAGATTGAACTTGATGAATAACATGAAGTCCCCCCAACCTTGATATTCGGATCTGCTCCTCGACGAAGTAGTAACTCCGCCACTTCAACGTTATTTTGCCAGACAGCCAGGTGGAGAGGTGTCTCGTCCATCACAGACTCGTTCACATCTAGGCCTGCGGCAATCATCTTCCCAATGAACGAACAATTCATAGACCTTGTCGCATGAACCAGTGACGTCTCCTTCCAATGCGAGACAAGAGGGTCTGCACCATGATCAAGCAAAAGCTCAGCTATCCGATAATTTTTCAGCTTCATAGCCTTCGCCAGAGGTGATAGCGGTTTCCCCGAACGGTGGGTTTTTGAGCCGTCAAAATTGCTCCCATAGTCATTAGGATTGGCACCGCACTCAAGGAGCATTTTTATCGTATCGTAGTGGCAGTGTGATATAGCCCAGAACAATATTGACTGATTTCGCGATGCTAGTTTTGGGTCTGCGCCGTTCTCAAGAAGCAACCGTACAATATCATCCCTAGCAAAGGGCTGAAGCCTGTTGTGTGGCCTAACAGCAAGCCAGAGAGGAGTTATACCAAGCTCTGGATCTGCGTAATTGGGGTTGGCACCATTCTCCAGTAACAATGACACAATCTCGTTACTGGGAGACCGGGCAGCGCGCCTTGAATAGTTTGTATTTGACACGGGAATCCCAAAATCGGCAACTGCGAGACACAGCGGTGTTTGAGCAACCCTAGATCGAATCCCGCACGCTTCGGTATCGGCACCTTCATTCAGGAGCACCTTCATGACTCCCTTGAGTCGAAGTAGACTTGCAATATAAAGTGGTGTCTGGTTCTGCGAATTCCCCACATTGATCCCGGCACCTAGCTCCAACAATCTCTTTATTTCTTCGGGTGCTCGTGCTTCTATTACAGCAAGGCAGAGCGGCGTGTTTCCTCCGTGGAATCGTGTATCAATATGGACACCCAGTCGAACCATCTCTTCAAATAAGGGTGGACAACCAGTGGCAACTCCTAGGTAAAGAAGCATAGGGCCATACTTCTTCATGGTATATGGATCTTCCAGTGCCATGGTCAGCTTGGGAGGATTGGAAACTAGAGACCTGGCGGGCTTGACTCCACAGTTACAAAAGCCAGTTCTCTCAACGATACCACTGCGGCTCAGCAGAAACAGGGCACACTCTATATGACCCTTTGCCACTGTCGCAGGCACAATCATCGCTATTCTGTGCATGTATTGTTTGCAAGTGAGATTATCATACTCTCCCATAGCAAGAATGTAATCAACGCACGGGATATGGCCACCCTCAGCAGCCAGGCGGAGAGTGGCTTTGCGCCCTGGCTCGTCATCATTCAGCAGATTTGCGAAATTAGTTTCCCACAAGATATCTGGACGGAAACCTCTTCCTACAAGGTCTTTCATCACATCCAAATGACCGTTCCTTGCGGCCTGGCCAAGAAGCTGCGCATTACAGCAGTCGTGGACACATTCCCCATGAAGGTCGGCGCCAGATTGAACAAGGGTATTGATCATAGAGATGTGACCCCCCTGGACTGCCCAGCAAAGCGGAGAATGGAAGATTCGACAGTCATGTGTTGGAAACCTCAAATCTTTTGCTATATTTGACGAGTCTACTGCCAGAGACTTCTGAACGACGGTGTCATAGCCACAGAAAGCGCCGAACGCCAATGATGTTTGGCCACAATGTTGTGCATTGAAATTGTACAAGCGGGCTTCCAACTTGTCATAGAGCCATTTGTTTGTCTGTGAAAGCGCGTTCAAGTCTTTTTGGGTTGCGATAGAGGCTTCACTGTTGTCTGGTTCCGTTGCGGCAAATTGGGAGAAGAAGCAGTCGATTATGAGCAGCACAATCTCAACAGGTAGGTCTAAAAGCGAGATCATATTGTAAAGTGAACAGAGGTATATGATCTAGTAGGAGAATTGTTGTGCGTTGAGCACACAAGAGCTCCAAGGTGTTAACTGACTGATCACATTCAAGTTGAACTGGTCTTGGGTACCCATAGCCCTATAGGCAATGAGTATGTCGATCCTTACCTAATGTGATATATCACTTTCCTGGGACACATGGAGTATCGAGTATCTGAACATAAATGCGGGCCGTTTAGAGACTTGTGAACATAAATTCTGATATTATCAGATGCCAAAGAGGGGTAGGGTATGTGGCACGTTATGGAGGGGACCTGGCGGCTCCATGATTACTGGGGTCGGTGCGTGAATTCTAGGCAAATATCAGCTGCATGTGAAGCAGTTTCATCTAAAAAGTCCAAAATTAAGGATATACCTAAACATCCAATCCTGATAGAGCGAGGAGGGAGGAGAAGAAGGAATGATTCTCTACAAATAAACACGAAGCTACCTAACTACGCTAACTATTCGGTAAGTGAGTGGTCATCTCCAAAATACATATATAGTATATGCGATAAATTACAGCATCATATCTCAACAATCACGTCTTTATTTTATTCCATTGCCTATAGATAGCTGTTGATTAACCTTGCTAACACAATATGTCAATTTCAAGGAATATTAAAGTTACATTATCATGGTATTGAAAAATACATAGCTATAAAGCAGGAATATGTATATATTAACACTCCATAAAAATTTTCCAAACTTCTCAAAGTAGCTAGTTAATATCTAAAAAGCATTAGACTACAAAGGAAAATGCCTACAGACCTTCGTTGTTAAGATCCAACACTGTAATTTATCGCATTCACTATGCGTTTTGGAGATGGCCACTCGCTTACCGAATAAGTAACGTATTTCACTACCGAATGGATCACACCACCGAGTGGATCACCCCAAAACACATAGTCAATGGGATGAATTACCACTTACTATCTCAACAACGGTAGTCTATATAGAGATTTCCTTATAGCGTAATGTTTTTAAGATGATATCTAGCCTGTCTTATGAGTCTGGGATATATATACGACGTTGTGACTGCGATATCTATTTTTCTGATTGTCGGCAACGTAATTTTCAATACCATAATATTGCAGCTTTTAGATTTATTCAAGACTGATATATAGAATCAATAAGGCTTATCAACACTTCTCTACAAGAAATGAAATACGACGGAAAAATGGGTTGTCGAGATATAAATGTAGAATAAACCTCATTTACTATGTGTTTTGGGTGATCCACTCGGTGGAACTAGTTAGTAAATTACAACATATTCTTCTAGTAGTGAAATCCCTGATCCCGAGGCTACATGGAGTCTTAGGTTGATATATAGTGCCCTCAAATGGAGCTACCTAACCGAATAATGATATTTGCTTTGGTCTGTCAAATGAGCAACGACACGGGGATCGGTGGGGTTTTGATGCAACCTAAAGATATTTTTCGCTTCTGTCTCCCGTTCAGGGATTGTTGGATGTTCCTAGACTCAATCTTCGCAGACATTGAAGGTTGCCTAGGTATCTTTAGTAATCTGACCTTTCCCCCGGTGCCTTAAATTGTTGCTCCCGATAAACTTACCTCTTCCGGGTCATCGATCATACTCTCATAAATAGCTCCCTGTTCGAACATCAGACCCTGCCTCGCGACTAATGAATCTCCCTGGCTGAGAAGAAAGCAGACCTCCCTAATGATCATATCGAAGATCTCCAGTGGAAGAGTATTGTACAAGGGCAGTTTCGCACTTTAGTAGCCCACTGGTCCTTCTGCTACAGAGGTATATTGGCGATGAACAGAATTGGAATATGCAGATCAACCAAAAACATGGCGAGGGTCTTGCGATGACCAGTCTTTTTTTTTTATCATCACATAGCTCAAATGGCTGTACCGTAAGGAGGACCTTCGGAAAGGCATTGAGACGACCCGAACGGGTCAGAATACTGCCTAGCTCTTGAACACAAGGTCCACCGTTTTTTACGCCGTAAAACAGCTCTGTCGAGTCATGTTGATTCTGTACGCTCTATTAGCTGCTAGACTCTCATTATAAATACATATTAATGAGTGTATTCACTATGAACGAGGGGTTCACCTGTTCGTGGCCATAGTCCATCTCCATGGCACCCCTTCCGCTACCGTCTACTTAATAATCTTATATTGTCACACCGACCATACTTTGATTGGTGGAATTAAAGCTGGCAGAATTGGGGTGCTCAAACTTATGGATCGTCACTGTAGATGTTGGTGATTCAGATGTCGGTGTGATTCAGATGTCGGTGTGATTCAGATGTCGGTGTGATTCAGATGTCGGTGTGATTCAGCCACCCAATGACGAAAGGGCTTAAATAATGTGACAGACCAGTTAACACTAGGTACCAACTACAGTGAGAATGCGGAAGTATCAGCATCGATGTACGTGGCTTGCGTGTATGGAAATTCAATATAATAAAACTCTGACTATCGATGAAGCAGGCCAAAACGGGTTTATTGGATTTGAGGTCCAACGATACTCCAGAGTCGGATCGGGTGGTAACTTTTCTGTATCTGACCTGTCGTTGTACTCGATATTTGACAGCATACTAACGGGAAGTCTGGACTTACTACCCTGAGGCAATTACCCAACATCACAAGTACACATGTTGCATTCTTCAGGGCTAAAGTATATGCGGAGAAATAAAAACGAATTATTTGAATTATTTGTTTGAATTTTTATATGTAGTCAGTTAAGGTGTACTTAGGTACTGTCTTGAGGAATAAATCGCTCGCAGCACACCCGATATCCAAACCCTTTGGCATTTGAATGCCCCTTCTGTCTATTGATCGAATTTAGATGGCAAAAGCGGCAGCCTTGACTCAATGGCAGCAGTTTAAGGCCAAAATCAATTGGTATGATGGGATGTCCATACTTATGCACCTGCAAGATACACTCAGCTGGTAGTTATGGCTGTGGGCTCGGGCCGCACTTAGACAGGCACGGTCCACACTAGATATCCTTCAAGATGGTTGCTGCTGGTCAATCTTCTTAGCCCTGGGCGTCTTTTGGCCGTCTATTTCTTGTTACTTACTTTCTAGTCTGACCTGGCTTTTGCTAGCCCTTTCTGGCTGGTGTTATAGTATTAGTTCATTAATACATTTAGGGCAGAGCGAAACAACAAAGCAAATATTTACCTACAGGTCTGAATTCGAGGCTGTCTATGCTCCCCCTGTCGCCAAGAGGGCGCTTACATGGATGATAAAATGATATTGTTTTGCTCATCGACATTTCCTGCTCAACAGCTCACTCAAGTTAAATAAATTGGATGCTATTCTCCTGCCTAATGAGGTCAGTCTTGACCCTAACTTTGGAAGATCTCCTTTGTAGTTCATTATCGGTGGTAAAGTTTGGGTGTAAAGCCCAGCGCCATGTGGTGTCTTTCCGTCATGAAATTGTGGACAATTTTCACTTGGTTATCAATGGATATGGTAAATTGCCGCCTCATAAGGATAGATGTCCAAACCGTTAGTGGAATTGCTCATCATGAGCGCAATGTATGTTGTACATACTGGACCAGCCGAACACCAATAATTACTACGAACTTGGAGAGTGCATTGATGATCATCATTCCGAAGGTCAATTCAGCAAGCCACCAGAGCCATTTTCTCACTCATTGAATGCGAAGGTACCATCAGACAAGACTGACTCAATCATATAAAGTGTCTCATGCGTCCCTACCCTTCTGCAATAACTCTTATTATCCAGCTCTCCTTTTATTTATAAACACCTTTCGGCATTCCTTGCCCGTACCATCAATGCCACATGAACCCTTTATCAAATCCTCTTCCAATCGTACCCTACAAAACAGGCAGCTAGGCCAACAAAAGATGGCTCCCGCGGTTCCCGTAACACTCGATTACACCCTGCACGACCTCTACTCAGAGGGCAATGAAGGCGTCATGAACACGGTTCTTATCTACTATCCTCTGCCAGTCGGGGGTTATTATGAGGGATCGTCAACCAAATTTGCCTACGGATATACACTTCAAGATGATGATGAGAACGCGGCATCCTCGTTTAAAACGGCGGGGAACATGGTGCCCCAGCGGTACGCCTTCTCCGCAGGCCAGATGCCCCTGATCATCTCGGATTTTGACTCAAAAAACAACCGGCAAGAAGCGAATCACAAAACAATCCAAATCATAGACAAACTACCCGCTCACCATGTTGATATCCGTCGGACCTTCGCCCAGTTAATACCCGATCAGCAGCCAAATTTGATTTTTGTGAACAGCCCGGAAAGTATATCTTTAGACGCCGGAGCGCAGATTGCTGTCTGTTTCCCTACGGACTGTCTGTCGCATCTGCCTCATCTCATTAATCCGGAGATCCATTACGAGATCCTGTCGAAACGTGGACTTGCTCTGTCCGGCTTGACGACACCCCCATCTCAGGTGATTGACACCTGTCTTATCGACTCCGGGGACCCGATTGTTTTGAAACGAGAGATTGCACGGATTGTGGACTTAATTGACCAGCGTCAACCCCCCTTTATGATTAAGCTTCCACAGTCCGTCTCCGGCATGGGTACCTATGCGATCACCACGGAAGCCGAAAGGGACCGAGTGAAGCATGCCCTCACGACGCAGTTGAAACCGATGCTACAGCAGATCAACAGATCCAATCATCACCTATATCCCTGCTCCTTGGTGCTTCAAGATTTCATTACGGGGCCAGTGGTGGCTTTGTCGCTTTTCGTCACACAGAAGGGGCAGGTGCGTTTTGTTGCTTGTTGTGAGCAGCTCTTCGACGAGCAGGGACATTGGACCGGTGGCTCAATCTCGTACCGAGAGCAGCCGGGGCTTTGTGAGAGCTTTGCCGCCATTGTGGAGGGGGTGGCAGTTTTCTTGCATAGTAAAGGGTATCATGGACCGGCTGGTGTGGACATCGTTACCGATATATGCTCAGGAGAGCAGTTTATTATTGATCTCAATGTCCGGGTCACCGGTACGTTCCATTTAGGCCTTCTCAAGGGACACTTTTGCCATCGCGAGCTGTTTAAGGCTACCATGACTACGGTTGACTTCTCGTATTCTCGGGATGAGTTCGAGAAGAGGTTTGCAGACAATATTCACAATGGTAGTCTTATCGTGAGTGGCTGGGTCCATGACGAGTCGATCAGCCATGCTGCAATTACTATCGGTGCGAGAGACTCTCACGAGCTGGAAGAATTTCTCAAACGCATCAGAGCAGCTGGCTTGCACACATAGCCGATGCGAATGAAAGCTTTTTATTTAATATCTAGCGTCGACTTGCGTTAGTTTTGCATCCAATCTCAGGTTACATGAGTACGACATTCTTCCGGCGTGACGGATATCAAAAAGAGTTCCAAGTTCCAATCCCTTCACATCATCCATGTCCGACAGAAGCGCCAGGCACTGATCCGGTTGCAATAATACCATACAGCCCTCGGGTCTAATATGGGGTCTAGGACTAAATAGAATCCTTCCTATTAATATTAACAGACTTATTGACATGGTCCGCACAAATTTTCAAATCCGGACAGTTCATTTTTGCTTAGTTAAAGAATTTTACTATCGTGGTTTTTACCAGTACACTCGCCATACCTTATTTTGTCACCATCACTTCATCGTCCTTCCATTCATCATCAATTCTATCGATTTTTCTCTCGTTCTCGAAGTTCTTAACTCTTCCCCTTTCACGCGGAAATGAACAAATAAACCCAGACCAGCCGTTACGATGAAGTGAAGCGACTCTATAAAAGCTCCTTAAGAGCTGTGAATATTGGTTTCTTTCCCCTGGTGATCTATAAGGCCTCAGAATCCATAGCCGGCAAGTTAGCATGACAGATGATAGCTCTATAAAATTTAATCGATGTTTCTTTCGGTCTAATCCGGATAGGATGCTTTAAAGATATCCACTCGATACGGTGTCGATGGCTCCGGATCATCCTCCACAGACTCTTTAACGAATTAGTAACCCCCGGGACTTCCAGACTCTACTACGAGAAGTCCAGAATGACCCTAAGGTCTAAAATTCCCTAGAATTCGCCGAATCAAGATGGGATACATTATCACTTTTATATGGGCCGGGTGCCTGGGAAGACCATACCATATAAACACATTAGTATATTTAATCCTAGTAGACGATTCCTTAGATAGGGCTTTCCCGGGACTTTATCTATATACGAATCGAGGTTAGTGCACTTCACTTTTTCACTTTTACTCTACTATGTTTAGGGGCTAAATATGCTAAAACGAAATAGAAATATAGCGCTGCTAAACTATTTAGACTTAATAGAAGGAATTATTTACGTATACTAAGTCTCCGAGAAGTTTTTTTAGCTAAGCTTTAACCCACATATAATTATAGAACTTTTATTTGATATTCCCGTAAATCACGCAGAGAATTACCTTACTCTCTAAGAAGTAACTAGTTAACTAGTTAAGCGCTGTTCTAACTAACCGTGATAGTTACTCGAACATCAGATCGGCCGTTCCGGGACCACCCGATCCATCCAGTCAGTGTCTTACTTATACTTCCTAGCTACTAGAATCCCTAAGCACTCGCTCATTTTTCATAGTTATTAGTTCTTATCATATACGGGACAGAAACATGGAAGAATAATTCAAGCTTCATTACATGGAGAAAGCTTACTTTTATAATATTCTCAGCTATGGAGTTTTGTGGATGACGAAACGGCACCAATTGAACTTTTCGTTCGTTATGATATGAGCCAGCTAGTTCCGATATCCTTGGAAGAGCTGAATTCTGTTATTGGCTCTCTTATCGGCCCTGTTGCGTCTATGAGCTTAAATTAGCTATTTAATACGACTGCTCTGTCAGGCTTGCTACAAAGACATGAGGGTGGAGAGTGGGCTATAAACCATGGGATTTCAAAGAACACCTTAGGGCACATTTCTATTTTTGCTATTGTGGAGGTAAAGGCTGGAATCCAGGACCCCCAGCAATATCCGTTGGTCGAGTGGCAAGAAGACGCAGAAATGGTCAGCTGGATCATGAAAAATGAGGAACAGCTGCAGCTCCATCTATTGGAAACGTAATTGGGGTGTGAAGATTCGCGTATCTTCGTGCTAATTGCTGTAGGCGCCTCTTGATCTCTTTGAATCAACATGGGTTGTATTTTACACTCGCCCGCTACCACGAGGACTACGTATAGTTTCTAAAAGGAGAATTTCGAGGGTTGAAAAACTACCCCGAGAATAGATTCCTCCGCTTACACGAGTATGGTATGGCCCATGGGATATCGCCAAGAAATCTCACATGAGGGACCTAGCCGAAACTATCGTAGGGTTTTCTATCCGTGTCAAAGATAAACGGCTAGATTCGCTGTGTCATCGAGGAGCGGTCATGACGGGGCGTGAGCGCGATGTGAGCGATATACATGTCTCTAGCGTGTCCGGTGCAGTATCATTCCATTATAACGGTTTCTCGAAACTTTTTCTCTCTTTCTTTCTTTCTTCCTTTCTTCCCTTATACCTGTTATCTCGCATAGAGGCAGTGTAAATATATGACTAAAAGTGATTTTTCACATCGGGCCAATACTAACTGTCCTTTTTGTCTTCTTTCATCACCATTCTTGCCTACACAGCTCTCACTGATACACGCCAAGACTCGGCCCGAACCGAACCGGTTTTCTGGCCCTATGCCCTCGACTCCACAAAAACGTGACTCTCACGTGACTATGTAATTTACGCAGTTCTAGGAGCTTTTGTGGTATTTCATATACACATGTAGCTGTATGTACCGTATTTTAGGCTGCGGATGCGAATTTCCCGATCGGTGTACCGCTTCATGAGAGGTCCCGCTCACTGAGTATTTCGCAGCACGGAGTAGTTACTCAGTGTACCTACTTAGGTATTCAAGTGTATGATTAGTAATATCAAAATAACGCTCAGGTATGCTCACTGAGTACTCTGACAGCGTTTAACCTAATCGGTAAACGAGTCAACCATGTAAGCGAGTCGGCCACCCAACCCAGCCTACTGATGAATTTAAATGCATTTATCTCAACCAACGCCATTAAATTAAATAAACTAAAATCATCATCTATTTGAACGTACATCTCTTCTATAGCCCTGATTTTTGTATGGCCTGCATATTGGTAAAGCCCTAGTCCTTAGCTATAAAAAAAAGGCCATCTTGGGGGGGCATATAGATACTACTATTACTTCCACCGGCTATATAATTGAAAGATGCACATATGTAGGCAGTCTACGAGAAGTACATGATAATTCTACTTCTAAATGATAATAGGTCTTGTAACCAAGGTCAATTCAAAAAAGGAAAAACACAGAACGAAGTGCGGGTATTATCCCTGGAGAGACAATAAAGTAGATTGATTTCAAACAAAGCAAATCATTTCATGTATAATGGATTCAATCAAAATGAGCCAAGATAGGGTAAGCATATTCCAAGGCGGCCGAATATATGGGTCACCTGCTTGGCCCAGTGACCAGTTGGGGCACGGACAACAACAACGTGCAACGCAAGGACCAGGAACCCGGTCCACTATCTGTTATCCACCCAATTAAACCACCCTCGCTACTCTAATTCAAAGCCCATTTCAAGCCTTGACTGTTTGGGACAAAGAGCTTGGAAATGTAGCCAGTTAGCCCTGCATCGATCACAACGTGGTATCGGCTAATGCCGCTCCACACGGGATTCTTCCAGCCGGTGAGGGGAATGTCGTGCCTCTAAGGCTCGAAGTATAAGATCGCGTGCCCGGCCGATCTTCCCTGCCTTTCTCATCATTATTGTCATCCCAGACATGTTCACCAAACAAACTCTTCTCGCCTTTGTCGGGGCCCTGGCCCTGGCCGCGGCCAAGACTACCACTGAGAAGAACCCAACCCAGGCTGAGATTGATGCAGCCCGTGCTACGGCCCTGCCTTACTCTCCTGTGTCAAACGTAAAAGGGTTGGCTTTTGATCGCTTCGTGAATATCTGGCTCGAGAACACAGTGGGTTTTCCCCTTACATAGGTAACGATGACTACGTGCTTACCTCTTGGCAGGACTTTGAAACCGCTGCTGCGGACGAGAACCTGTCCAAGTTGGCCAAGGAGGGTATCCTCCTAACCAACTACTATGCAGTCACCCACCCCTCGGAACCCAACTACTGTGCTTCTGCCGGGGGGACACCTTCGGCATGGACAATGACGACTTCATCCAGATTCCAGCAAATGTCTCGACTATTGCCGATTTGTTTGACACCAAGCACATTGCTTGGGGTGAGTACCAAGAGGACATGCCCCATGCCGGCTACCAGGGCATGCGGTACCCCCTCAGCGGTCCCAACCAGTATGTGCGCAAGCACAACCCGCTAGTTCTGTACGACTCGGTCACCAACGACGCCGTGCGCCCACGTCAAATCAAGAATTTCACCACTTTCTACGAGGACCTGGCACACCACAGCCTTCCCCAACACCTGTTCATCACACCAAACATGACCAACGATGCCCACGATACCGATATCACGGTGGCCGGCGATTGGGTCGCTCGTTTCCTGCCCCCCCTGCTGAAGAACAAGCACTTCAATAAGGACAGCTTGGTGCTGGTCACCTTTGACGAGGGTGGCAACTACTCCTACCCTAACCGGGTCTTCAGCTTCCTGGTTGGTGATGCCATCCCCAAGCACCTGAAGGGCACCACCGACGACACTTTCCTTACCCACTACTCAATCATCGCCTCCCTGTCCGCTAACTGGGGTCTGCCCTCGCTTGGTCGTTGGGATTGTGGCGCCAACTTGCTCAAGTTGGTCGCTGAGAAGACCGGCTATGTCAACTGGAAAGTTGATACCAGCAATGCCTACCTCAACCAGACTTACCCCGGCCCTCTCTCTACCAAGAACTATTCTTCCAAGTGGGCCATTCCTGCCACCAAGGGCAGTTGCTCTGCTGGTCATGGTATTGCTGATGTGGTGAAGAAGACCTACCACGGTCTTCACCCTACCTACGACTACGCCAGCCCTGTGCCGTATGACGCGACCACTGGAAACAATGTCGGCATCAAGTACCACCGTACTCTGGTATGAACCTTGTTTCCTTCTCCCTTTTGATGATTCAATGCTAATGATTTACAGAAGCACGGTAAGGAGGAGTCAGGTATCACCGGGTAAGCCAATAATCCATGCATACGATGCACTGGAACTGCCGTTTCAGATGCGAACATACATAGCTGTCTTTGTCTATAAAAAATTTGATTGAATGCTATGTTTTGCGATATAAAAAAAGAGCACTCTGATTTTACTGCAAATTATTGTGGATGTCCCGGATGGTCCTTCCAGACTTGATCCACACACATACATATTCTGATATGCATGGGGGCATCCCCAGTTTACCTCTACCCCACGGAATATATATCCCCACAATCAAAGTATATATTGCTCCACCAAAAATACCCAGATTCTTGTAAAATGGAAAGTTCGGACGGATTAATAGCCAATGTTATAAGTGCATTCGTTTTCGTGTATAAGCTATTTATATGCCATATGAGCTCCGACTTGTCCTTCGCCCTTTCCGATATCCTTTTGTTTCGAGTTGATGGTATGCAGGTTGAGCGCAGACATCATGCAGACAACGTTACGCTATGAATGCCCTCGTTTGATTCTTGTCTTTAGCTTTTGGATACTTCGTACACGTGGGATCGACGGGGAGTTTGTTTAGATAGTGCTAAACGTATCCTTCCAGGACTCTCTGATTATGGGCCCCGAACCGTGTAGCTTATCTAAGATTAGTACATTCCCGAGGTCGAACCTTGGAAGGGTTTATGGTTGAAATGTATCAGCACTTTTGCCCAAGACTCTCTAGTTCAACAATTAATTTTTAACTCTAATCACAGACATCCCTGCTATACCTTGAACTACTCTGATCAACATGTCTAGCTTCAAGTCCGTTAGACCTTAGGAGATCGGTATTCCACAAACCAATCAACGCTAGTGGGATCGAATTCCTAGTAATTCCCTCAGATCACAAGGAAGTCTTTCACGGTTGCGAGAGTTCAACTTTGCCACATGGAAACTTGTTCCAGAGCCTTTCAAGATTTGCAAGAACTCGAGGGGACAGGGATGCCAAGACCCTAGAGGCGCCACGCACTGGAGGCGGATTGAGGCTTGATAATGACGAGGGTGTCGCTTTGACTCTAAACGGCCTTGCCGTGATCTGCACGCCCTGTCCCATAACGTATGGGCCGGTCTATGAGTCGTGGGCTTAAGCAACCGCATAAGCGATATGTACCATGTACTCTAACTGATATCCAATATGGTATCATGGCAGTGCGCATGTTCTTATTCGGGAAGGTACCGAGGATTGTCGCCATCCTCATATGCATGACAATTCGGAAAATTTTGTCATTGGTCTAATAAGGAAAAAATTAATATAGACTCATATACACTTATGTTGTACGCTCTACTAATCTAGTTTCCGTGTTTATTTCCGAAAGCAGAAATTTTACTAGGCTAATGCCAAACCGGAGGTGAATTGTCCGACAACGCCCGCTCTACTCCATACTCCAAATGGCTTTTTGAGTATTTACCCGGGATCTTGGGTGGGTCCGTGTGAATTTTTTTCCCTTTCATTTTTTATATGGTCTACATAGGGCCAAGATATCTCAAAATGCTTCGCTTTATAAACTTTCTTGGTATGGAAACCTGGAATATTTTTTTTTGGAGCCCTGGAAGGCTTGGTTGAGCCAAATAATAATAAGAAAATCTCCCGAATCTTAGAAGGGTGTTGACCTGTGAAAATCTTCGAATCGACGTTTGAGGGACCCATCTCTTCCTAATGTAGAAATAGCTTGGCAAATGGATCCACCCGACTTGTTGACTTCCCGAACTTTTTTTGACTTCCTTTACACGGAGTACGGAGTCGACGTTTACACACTCCCATCCGAATAATTCCCGGTATTCTTCCCGAGCTTCTTCCCGAAGGACTTCGGACTTCGGGCGAGAAACATTCGTTGGAATTTAAGAGGAACCCCTCTACTAGAAGATATCAATGTTGATCTCTATAGATACATCGTTTATATCCTACCTTATGTCACTACCTAGCATATGTATGTCTCGTGAGCCCGATGATCATTGCTGTTGACGGTCACCCAAAACCCCGGGAAAATTAATGTACTTTTTTGTATTCCGTACGGCTGAAGGCCCTAACCGGGGGCATCGGACATGGCGAGATTCGGAAGTAAAAAGGCAACTGAAACGAGATCTTTCTGAATACGTAATATTCGGGCCATATCAATCGGCACGGGACATGAAAGAAAAAGAGGAAAAAAAGAAAAGTACGGAAAGTAGAAAAAGTAGAGAAAAATAAGAGAAAAATAAAGGAAAAAAGCAATGGGTTTACCAATGGCAGACGAGGATTCAAAATTCTCGGCCCCTGACCCACCTCCTCAATTTCCTCTTCCCCGTGGGTTACAGTGTGGGAGGGTCGGATAAGATTCCTCTTGCGGTACAGCGTCGTCCTGATCCCGCATCCTCCAAACTCCAGACGCCCCCAGACGCTTCCCCCCAGGAGCCCCCAGGAATCACTTTTGATCCACCCCCCACATAAGGTGAGTGAACATGTTTTTTTTGGCGAAGCCCCCTACGTATGGAATATACACGACTAATGACTGTTGTTAGATTAGCGCGAATTAATATACCAAGACCTAAACGGTCAAGTTAAGCCGCTCGGTACACTTGGCAAACCGCGAGACTTGCTTATAGTATCCCCGCAACCCCACTAATCATGGCCCTTGGCCCCTACTTGCCTCTACTTGGATTCATTTGGCCCCCACGGCGGGTCGCAAGACCTGCCTATCCAATGTGATGGCGCCGCCGATGTCACTCCAAACTTTTTCTCTTTCCCTTGGCAAATAACATGCGGCCCTGAATGCATATAAGGCTACCGGAGTGTCCTCTTTGTCTGAGCTTTCTTTTCTTTCTCCATGTCGCTTTGGTCTTTTCCTCTCTTCGTCTAATAGAGGACATTCATCATGTGGACCACAACCTCCGGCTTGCGGGGCAAGAAGCTCCATATTGCCATCACATTTACATCCGTTGTTGGATTCTCACTTTTCGGTTATGATCAGGGTTTGATGTCCGGTATCATTTCTGGTAACCAGTTCACCAAGGAATTCCCCGCCCTCCATGGTACCTCGGAGCACGTCGCCGTCCTCCGTGGTGCGGTCACTGCCTGTTACGAACTCGGTTGTTTCTTCGGTGCTATCTTCACTATGGCCTACGGTCAACGCATTGGCCGTACTCCTCTCTTGGTCGCCGGTGGTCTCCTCATGATCCTCGGTACTGTTATCTCTACTGCTGCCTACGGTCCTCACTGGGGACTGGGCCAGTTCGTTGTTGGACGTGTCATTTCCGGTCTTGGAAACGGCATGGACACCGCTACTATTCCCGTCTGGCAGTCTGAGTGTTCACGCGCTCACAACCGTGGTTTCCTCGTCTGCTTCGAGGGTGCTATTATCGCCGTCGGTACCCTTATCGCCTACTGGCTCGATTTCGGTCTCTCGTATGTCGATAACTCCGTCCAGTGGCGGTTCCCCATCGCCTTCCAGATTCTGTTCGCCATTTTCGTCACTGCTGGTGCTCTTATGCTCCCCGAGTCGCCTCGTTGGTTCGTCATGCAAGGTCATGACGATGAAGCCATCAAGGTTCTCGCCCAGCTCAACGATAGTGAGCCTGATGCGGAGGATGTGCTTGCCGATTTCAACCTTATGAAGGCCGATCTCGCGGCTATGCAGAATATTGAGGCCAACAGCTGGAGTATTCTGTTCACTGGAGGCAAGACTCAGCACTTCCAGCGTATGATGATCGGTTGCTCTGGACAGTTCTTCCAGCAATTCACTGGTTGTAACGCCGCTATCTACTACTCGACCCTCCTGTTCGAGCAGAACTTGCACATGGAAGGCAGACTCCCCCTGATTCTGGGAGGTGTTTTCGCCACTGTCTACGCCCTCGCTACTATCCCATCCTTCTTCATGATCGAGAGGGTCGGTCGCCGTAACCTGTTCTTGATTGGTTTCCTCGGCCAGGGTCTCAGTTTCATTATCACCATGGGATGTCTCATCGACTCGAACGCGCAGAGTGCCAAGGGTGCCATTGTCGGTATCTTCTTGTTCATCTGCTTCTTCGCCTTTACTACGCTGCCTCTGCCCTGGATCTACCCCCCCGAGATCAACCCCCTCCGTACCCGTACCAAGGCCGCCTCCGCCTCCACCTGCATGAACTGGATCACCAACTTCGCCGTCGTCATGTTCACTCCCGTGTTCTCCAACCAGTCCGACTGGGGTATCTACCTCTTCTTCGCGCTGGTCAACTTCATCGCCATTCCCTTCGCTTGGTTCTTCTACTGTGAGACCGCCGGTCGTGATCTTGAGGAAGTTGATATCATCTTCGCCAAGGCCCACACCGAGGGCAAGTGGCCCTACCAGGTCGCACAGGAGATGCCCAAGCTCTCCATTGCCCAGATTACCCAAATGCAGGCCGAGCTGGGTCTCGATGTCTCCGACCTCCGTGTCAACACCGAGGCTGAGAAGGCCGAGACTGCCATGAGCAGCAGCAGCGAGACCAAGAACAGCGAGACCAAGAGCGAGTAGATACTCCATCGCTTGCTCTTGCTATCGCCTGAGTGATATTCGCAAAGCGAATCGGATTAATTTTTGTCTCGGATCTCATATTATCATGTGACCATAGATTCTCTATACCCCCCGTGTAACGGGAAAGCAGGCAGACTAGTATGTAGGTAGTCTGCTTTGTGATCTCTTTTTATTTTCTCTATATTTCCTTTGATCTAAATACATACTTTTTACCACTATCAATATTTCTTCTTACCAACCATTTTTGCTCGGGTCTGCAGCCCACGATTCCAGTATCTTCTCAGTGGGGATGGAAGTAAGGAATGCCTTGGCATCATATAATTCATATACCGACATTTCGATGCAAAATTGGCCAAATTAACAAAGGCATTCCATTCGTACGATGCACATGTGATTTAACCCCTAATTAACGAGTACATTGGAAGCCCCTGCAGATCGTCGATCGGATGGAGTTTACGGACAAAGAGAAAGCAGCATGTGAGTCGACATAATTTACATGTCATATTCTGAATAAAGACACATGTG